GGAGACTTTGGCGAACTTCGAGAAAAATTAAAAATTGCAAAAATAATAAATAAAATTAAAAACTAATAAGAATGAGTACTGAAAACGAAAGTTTTGTATTTTCATATATTCATTCTACGTTTATTTTTGCACACGTAAAAGAAATATGTAAGGTAAATAAATGGGACGGTTGGGAATAGACTGATCTGTCGATGGGTAAATCATTACAGGATATGCTGCTTCTAAAACACCCTGGATTTTTCCAATGCTGTATTTAAAATGATGCTGTTATTGAAAATACGATCAAGCTCTAATTTCTCTCGCGAGTGCACTACCTATCGACTACGATCAATTTAAATTAATTACAAAAATTTATATTGCGGGGTCTCGAGGTGCTAAAACGAAATTTCATATTATTTTCACGAGAAAAAAATATGACCAAGTTTACTTGAAAAATATTTAGTTTGTAGATTTTTTTTGGTTATTGACCAACTTTGACGGCTTTACTGCATTTTTATTGCAATCTACATAAATAATGCTATAAAATGATATATTCACATTGTTGATTTGAGCAAGTAGAATGGCGAAATAAAAATATTTAAAAACGGAAAATTTAAACTTTCGCATTTTTTGGCGAAACCAGGGCCTATTCACAAGAAGTGGCGGAACGTCTACGACATAGGGTAGAATCGCCAAAAAAAAGTGTGGTCCAAATCCGTGACACACCAACCTGGTTGTCCCCTTGTCAAAGTGGCATACACATACGCCTCACTGAAGATGGCGCAATGCCAAAACACGTTTGAACAACTCAAAAAAACCCGAGTAAGACCCAGTAAGTGACTTTGTGCTGGTTCAGCATGCGTTTACCAATTCCCAGTCCAAAATTCATCATCAATTCTGTACACATATACATTGAGAGGCAAAAAGGGCCCAGATCTCTTAATATTTTTAATTATCTCTATTGATTATCTTACAATATTTGGTCGTTTTAAAGGATTAGAGGTTTGCAACTGGATTTTTTAAATAAATCGTTGAATAGTCAATCTCTTCTTTGTTGGTTTTCTGTAAACTAACGTTCCGGTGGTTTGATTTTTTAGGTTGTACAATTTTTAAGTTTCATTTTTTTTTTGATGGTTTAGAGTGATACAGATCGGCAGGAATGATAGCATTGTTGGAAGATTATAGAAGACAAGCGTACGAGGCCAGAGTACTTAACATTCCCCGACCAACTGTCCGAAGGGTTTTCCATCGCTACTAAAGTACTGGAGGTTACTCAAGAAGGCATGGATCAGGTCGCCATTGCGTCACATCTCGGAGACGCTTTATTGTTTTATTTGTACTCCGTAATCGACATTCTACCCCTGTTGAGATCAAGCAACGACTTCAACAAGTTAGAAATATTAATTTCTGCTTAAGAATCTGGATTACGTGCGAGAAAGCTTACCATTCGTTGTGTTTTGACAAGGCACTCGGTTAAGTTTCGCAAGATTGGACTAAAGTCTTGTTTTCTGATGAGTCAAGGTTTTGATTTGAGGATTTGAGGTCTTCTTACGGCCGAGAGAGGGTTTGGAGAATAACAGGAGAGCGATATATCCCTGGTGGCGTTATGGTTTGGGCAGGCATTTCTATGGAAGGTCGCACAAACCTGCTCTTCAGCTGCGCGATACATTGAAGATGTGTTCCTTATAAGTCACCAATTGGCGACGGTTTTGATTTTAGGCCGACCCAGCTAGGATCGTAGGTGACTACTTGAAACGATATTCAATTCAACGTTTTGAAGTTGCCGTCCCGACTTAAACCCTATCAAACACCTTTGTGATGAGTTGTCAAAGAGGGTAAAAAGTTGCCCCGGTATGCTAGAGAATTTGCAGGAATTAAAAATGATGCTGTTGTTGGAGTATGAAAATATTCCACAGCACTACACTCAAAACCGCATAAAACTGAATGCAAGCGGTGATCAACGCAAGAGGAGAAAATACACCGTACTAATTTTTTTTAAATTGTTTTAATAACATTTTGGTTGTCACTTGATTTACTTAGTTTAATTTTTTATTTTGTTATATCTTTTTCTTAAACATCCAGTAAATAACAAACAAAATTATAAAGATTGCAAGTATTTAGGGGGTGAGAGTGGCCACTTCTCACTTTCTACTTTTCAGTGTATGTTCATTCTTATTGGTTTAGGGTTAATAAAGTTTGCACATAATTTTTTTTAAACTGAAATTTACCTGGAAGTGGTCCTGTGATGGTGTCTTGTCAGAATTTTTAACACCCGCTCTCGGTGGAGGGACCATTTGGTTCTTGTATTAAGGCTTTTGGGAGTTTTCGTGTTTTTCCAAACTTTCCCCAACATCGACCTTCACCAAACTTTTAGGGAGTTGGGCAAAAGTCCTAGTCCTAAGAGGATAGCATTCGAACCCGAGCGTGGCGAACGGCTTCTTCATTTCTTTCTGACCTTAGCCACATTAGAGCAACCTTATAGTATTTACGGAGGAGTTTATAAGACTTTCGAGGGGAAAACCGTGTTATTTCCTAGTTAAATTCAAGTTCATCCTATCTGCTTGTTAAATAAATTGTTGCAGTTGTAGAATAATAATAATCATAAAGCTTATTCGCTCTGAACAGAGTTTTACCTAGATTAATCAAATTTTTAAAATATCTTTGGTCAAATCATATTTTATGATTCAAAAACAGTACAGATCGTAAGGTTTGTCTAGTAACCGGGTGGTTACGAAATAATCAGGGGGAAAACAAGATGAAAAACACGTGGATTGTTTAATCCTCTGGGATTTAAGCAAAGTACAGAAAGTGAGAAGGACCCAAATCGATTATCACCATCTGATGTCCACGGGCTGAATGCACGAGTTTCTGTTTACAGGTACACTTGGACTGGAAAGATTTACAATTGAAATGGGGAAAGAAGTGGTCCGGATGCTACCGCCTGGAACCAACGACTTAGCCCGATGCGAAAACTGATTTTTTCGAACTTTTCAAAACAAGGGCAAAGCCATTTGTTCGACCTACGAACGGTAACAAACTTGTACTTGCTTACAAGGAAAAAGTGCAGCGACGGTTTTACTTTATATCGTACAGATTTGATTCCTCAGAAAGAGAAAGTTTTGTTTACGTTTTTGTTATTTCAAAACGGCAATTTCTAAACCAAAAATGAGTTTGTAACAAAACAATGAATTATACCGAAGCATCCCGAAGCCGATAACTTCCAAGATCCTGTTTGTTTTGTTATTATTTAATTGTCTTGTCGTTTATTTATGTTTGTATTAAACTTTCCCTGCTACGCTAGTTGTCACTTTTGGCAAGACCGGGTTCCACATTTTAGGTTTATGCAGCTTTTACCGCGTACAATATGCTCTTTTATTTAAGGGAAAAAAGGAAAATTTGTAATTAAATAAAGAAAAATGTTGTGGGAATTCTCTGTGTTGTCTGCAGGAAGATTTCGCTATCTTCGGTGTTGAATCTGGGCGATTTTGTTAAAGTTGAGTATCTTTTATGAAGAACTTTTACGGGTATTGAAATGAAGAAATGCGTCTGATAGACCAATATTGCGAGAATGGGCAGACCAAAATTTAAAAAAAAATATGATGAGAGATGTTTGATCAACGAAGGTGCATAAAACAAGGATTAACCATACTTTCCAACATTTCTCGTTAGCACTGATATTACCGATTAATTAAAATCCTCCTGATAATAAAAATGTAGTGCAAGTTTTTCCCTCCCCCCAAATGTTTATATGAATTTTTCCCTTCACTGCTTTAAATAAAATTATGAATGTGAAGTCCATGAAAAATTAATTTAAGGATTTGACTTTTTTGTTATCCAAAATTGAAATAACCAGAATAATTTTTAATGATTTTGAGTATGAAAAGTATGACTTTTTAAAGTTTAATAGCTTTAGAGAAGAACAAAAATAAACATATACCTGCACTGGAGGAAGGTGAAAAAAATACATAAATAATATTCTATTTTCTAGATAGAAGGTCACCACTGTAGGTTCAAAATTAAATCGTATTTGGTAAAATAGCTCCTCAACTACATGTTTTGTTATATTTCCTGGAGGTATATAGAGTGATAAACCTATAGCTTGGTTGTTTCCAAATTTGTAATCCCAAAATAGCAAAAATAAAAGCTGGCCTAAACGATCCAAATGACCAAATGCAAGACAAGTTATATTTGGGCATTATTTTGGTAGTTGTTGAGTGACTTGGTGTAGAATTTAGTGCAAATTTAATTTCAGTTAATTACTCTTTTTATCTAAGGTCTTGGTTGAGATGAAAAAGTTAGTGACACAAGCAGGATTCGAACCCACAACCTTCGGCTCAATATGCTGCTACTCTAACCACTTGAGCTATTGTGACTTCAGTCACAACACTAACTTTTTCATCTCAACCAAGACTGTGGATAAAAAGAATAATTAATTAAAATACTTAATATAATCAATTATGACCGTTATGGATTAATACAAATTTAATTTTGATAGAAGAGGAAGTTATTTTTCAGGCAAGATGCAGAAGAAAAAAGGAAAGTGTTTAACTAATATTGCATATTTTACCACAGCATCATTCAGTTATCGACAGATAATGTTACAGGAGAGGGATATGGAACTTCGACAGATCATCAATAATATAGAGTGATTTGCGTGAATGCAAGTTCATGCCCCAATGTCCTTATTTCATGCAGAAAAACTACAAACTTTGATTCTGATCGTCAAAATATGATGCTAACATGATTGTAATCTAAACAAAATTAACTAATAGATCAAATGAATTCATCAGTTAAAATAATTAATTCATTTATTTAAAAAAATATAAAAATATAAAAAATAAATTAAGAAGAATAACATTTTGGACATTCTAAATATTAAAGAAGTATGGACAGTTTTCGGTTCCAAAATCCTTATACTCAATATCAATTTTCAAAAGCTAGACATTGCTAAATCAGTATTAATTTGAAACAGCCTTCAGATTAAAAATAAACAATATTATCATAGATGATAGAACAGATAAAATTTCTTACAAACAGAATTTGTAAATACATTCCCATTTGACAAATTGCTAACCCAATGGAAAGAGTGATAATATTTTTCACCTTGTGCTTTTCTGTGCCCTGTACAGCAAAAGCGGAATGCAACTCGAACCATCGCATTGCTCATTTTTTCGGGATGAGACAGGAATCAGATAAGTAAGAACACTGATTATCACATATGATGGTAATTTATTGTAAAAAAAATTTTTTTCAAGTAATTAGATCCACAACTCACTTTAAACTGTGAAAGAGAAGGGATTGGAAAAGATCAATGATTAAAACAAATATCAAGAGCCCTCTCACCTAATAAGCAAAAATAGATATTTGCAATCAACATAACCCAGAACTAATACACCAAATGACATGACAAATATAACACTGACACATCCCACCCCTCACTATAAAAGAGACTTGGCAAAAAGCTGAGACCCCAACCAAGTGAGGATAGGCAGACCAAAATAATCGCTAACAACTGAATTACTCTTTACAATGATTTCATTCTAACAGGAATTTAAAAAAATATTAAAACACAAAACAATTGATATTCCAACTAAACAACACTAGCAACATAATTAATTTATACTATTTATTTTACCATCTTCCTCCATTTTTTCAATTTATTTTTGATAACTACACCACTGCTACTAGTTTTTTCCTTTTTTTTTTTTTAAATTTCAGATTGTTATTCAAAGTTCATACGACAGTGCCATATAGGGCGATGTGGTGGGTTTCAGCAGATGTAGATTACACCCCTGATGAAAATGTGGGCATAACTTACATCGAGCTGCTGGACCAGACAAATAGCAAAGGCGGATGTGGTGAAATCATAAGCGGAGGGATAAATAAAGATCACGTCAAGATAAAATTACAATCTCAGTGGTACCAAGACATTGATTACATTGTAGCCATATATGGAAAGAAATTTTCCATTTAGTTAAAATTTGCTATTTATATTTTAATTGTATATTTGTTAATAAATATTTGTGTAAAATTAATTGGTAAACAAATTTTATAATCTTTTTCACACAAATACTGAATTTAAGAGACAAAAACTAAATTAAAATTGTTGCCGAGTAGAAACCAGCCAATTTGGTCTTAATCAGGCTAAAAATAAAAAACAATTTTACTTACTAAAAATTAAAAAACTTACTTGACACTGAAAATTGTAGAAAGGGCGTTGAAGCATCCATCAGCAACCTGTGGCTTGGCAGTGTAACAACGTTCAACCACCCAATCAAGAAGCGATCCAATGTCCGAATTGCATTCAAGAAGGAGAACAACAGTTTCACAAGCAAGTTTGTATATCTGCAAAATTATAATCATTGAATTAGCTAAAAAAAAAAAAAAGCATGAATCCAGAATTTGTGTACATACTTTTGGATCTTCCGACTGGAGAAGTTCATCTATCCAAGAATATAGAGATCCTTCTTCGGCTAGGCCTTGAGGGTCAAAACAAGGTCCACAACACAGAACAGATGTCATGGCTTGAAGAGCGATATACTGAAGATCTGGGCTGCCTGGTACATCTGACAACCCGAGCCCCCTCCCCAGTGGTCCAGCCCAAGAAGCGAACATCGAAAACAAATTTCGTCTCAAATCCCGCTTTAAAAGACTTTGGTGCATCTCAACTGAAATTATTAACACATCAAATAGTCAAGTAAAATAAATTACTGACTTACAGAAGGTCTTAACATCAAACTGTATTTACGTGAAAAACTCTTCAGCATATGCCTTATAAAATTACAAAAATGACTCTTTATATCTGTCAAAGATTCCTTGTCTGGATCCATTTCCAAGCAAATACGTGCTCCCTCAATATATTCAACTATGGTCGGATGGAGAGACTGAGAATCTCTTTCCAAAACACACGAACTAAAATTTTTTAAAAATTATAATTATATCATGAAATAATTGTTTTTTGAATTCACCTGTTGCCGAATGTCCCATACTGAGCTATCAATTCAAACACTCTTACTAAATGAAGGCGTAATGCATCTCTTCTACGCCTTCGCCTCATATTTTCTTGCTTCCTGTCAACAGCTTCACGAATATAAACCACCAGCTCTTCCATCAAATCCCTAGAAAATAATGTTGAATTTTAATAAATACATAAAAAATAAATAATACAATTCATACTTTAAAGCTTCACAGTTCACTTTAGCTAATGCATAAACAACAGCATCCCTAACGTCAGTCACCTCACACCTCAGAAGTGGGACAAGCAGTTTATATAAACCTGCAGGTGTTACTGCTGTACCTTTTTCATTGCGTTCCGCAGTTAAACTATCTGGTGAGGAGCTGTAAATTTAAACAACAAATGAATAATTGTTATAAATAAGAATATATTAATAATGAATCTATATAGAAATAAAAGAAAAAACTGTGATTAATGATAATTACAATAAATTAATTAATATGTCATCCAGATATTCCCCCGTCTAATACAAAACTGAGTTTTCAACCAATTATTTTGTATTATTATTAACTTGGTACCTACCTCATTTTTAAGTAAATTATTTAATATAACAAGTTAAGTTAACAAAAGGCTAAAGACTAATAAACATAGACATTATTTTATAAATATGTTTATAGTTTAACAGCAAGGATGTTAACTTAAAAAAATGATATTGCTATTTTCTTCTATATACTTTCAGTCATATCAATGATTTTTATCGTCTTGTTGTAAAAGTGGCTATTCCAAAAGTATCAGAAAAATCAGTTCATTGGCTCATCATCAGTGGTCTACACTCCATTTCAAATTACAGGAAAATAATTATATTATTGACATGAATTATTCACATTATTCTAATTAAAATATGAAAATTTTTGCTCATTTTTATCACAATCCTTAATAAAAATATACATACAAAAAATTTACATATAATTCTTGTTGAAGTGATTCAATAATAATAATATTCAATGATACAATACAAATGTATGATATATTTATTAAAACTTTTAAACAAAATTATTAGCTAGCATTATTTGAACTAAAGACCAAAATTTTAAAAACTGTAAGCACAATAAGAAAAACCTGAAATGTCTCAATTTTCTTTTGTTGTCGATTTGCCACACTGCAACATATTAGATCTACAGTTTACTGAAAGCTATTATTAATACAAATTATTGGGAAAGGGGATAAACCAAAATTACTATTCACTAGATTAAAATGTAAATTTCTAAGATTCTCTAATATGTTAATAAAGTTTCAAGTCCGTAAGACTAAATGAGCACTTAACAACATTACCTCAGAAAACTAAATTGTTAGCTCATTTGTTTCAGTTATAATTAAAAATGCCTAATCAGTCAGATCTAATAAAACCAATCAAAATCTCACCTGCTTCTTTTATGGCGCGTTTTATTCTGAGTATATCCATAACAGTAGAGAGATTTAGACTCGGATAAATCATCGTCGGAGAGACTTTGTGAAAATCTGTGCCAGAATAACATACTTTCCTGTTGGCTTGATATTACGAAAATCCGTCTTAAAAATACATGTCGAATAGTTAACAAACAAAAAAGTTATTGCTATATAGCAAAACAATGAAGTTTTGATACTAAGCAGTGCTTCTTTAGAAAACAAGCCAACATCACATAAAGCAGACAATTACTGATAGCAGAACATGTTCTCAACTTTTAAAAATGGACTGACTTATGAAAACACAATCTTTTTACACTCACATAAAATCTTTCTTTCTGAAGAGACATAATTATTTTTAAAAAGTGCAATCAAATCAACTTTTAGTTTATTTCTCCTACACAATGGAATAATTGGACTTTTTTTTTTGATCAAATGGAAAATGTATGAGACAGGAGCAAAAGCACTTCTTAGGTGAATTTTAATGATTTACTTTTGTGAAACAATGTGATGAAGTGACAAATTTGCAGGTTGATTTACAGGGCGAGGATGGTGCAAGACATCAATTCTACTTTACACAAATTTTGTCATCATCAACTGCAATCCATATTCAGGCCAGTAATCCTGACCTCACCCTGCTTATTTCCCTCACCAAGTTATGAAGATAGCAAAATGCCAAAACGAAATGGACATAAAAAAAACCAATGATGATAGGAAGACCAGGATGATACGATATGATAAGCTACATATGTTGGTTTTGTTTTTAATTTAAAAGGACTCAATATTTTTGTACCATGAACAATGTTTGGACAATTCTGATAATTGTTTAAAATAATCATTAAATAAATGTTTAATAAGTTGCTGCCAGCTTCCAGTCGCCTAAACTATTCTAATCTAAATAAATGATTGCCAAAATGATTTCAAGCTAAAAGGTATATAGTTTAATATAATTAATATATGCATAACTAACAATTACAAAATACTTTAAATTGAACTATAACACATGTTTGCATGATATCTTACTTTCAAATGAAATTTACATAATATTCACTATTTTAACTAATTCTCCAGTAAAAAAACGTGAAATTGTATTAACTATAACCTTTCATGTATTCTATTTTATAACTTCTATAACTATATAACCTACTTTATTCTATTTTTTTTTATCTTTAATCAATTGATTAATATGTTTTCAAAGCCTTTACTGGTAATGATCATAGAAAATAACCGAAGTTATGACAATTTTTGTTGTACCACCTCAATACTTTCTCACATTGCAATATATTCCAATGAAAAGAAGTGCAATAACCATTACATAACAAATTCAAAAACAGGCACCTGAAAAATCTATTAAGGAGAAATTTCAGTACGCAAATTCATGATCATGGTCCCATGAAAATGTTTCACCTAAACAAAATTTTATTAAAAATGGTAGTGGAGAATGAAAAACCTAGTGTGCAAGATGTAAATATAGTCATATGAAGTAGTAATAATTGTCCTGACCCATTGGGGCTGCCAAGGATGGGCAAACGGGCCCAAACTGTGCAGAATAAAGAAAAGATTTTTATGCCGTGGAACACTTGGTTTTCCTTTCTCCCAAGACCATCTAAATTTAAAAGAAAACCATGAAACATACAACTACAAAAATTTTGTTGTTTTTGTTGTCAGGCTAAATGAAGGTTTTGATTAAAATGTACTCTTCTCTTGGAACAATTATGTCAAATCCGTGTATTATTATTATTGATTTATCTTTCATACTTGGGTTTTACATAATCAAATGACAAAATCATCTACCAAGGTGATTTTTAGTTCAGCTAGACCATAAAACCTTGCAAGTGAATATTCAGCACCTCGATAAAGATAATATTTATTATATGGATTTATAAAATATTAACAAGTCTTTCTGAAACTGTAATTTTAAACTGAGCATGTGAGGTGGCTGCTTTTAGATTGGTTGTAGGTTTGTAAGGATTGTGTAGAATTGATGATCTGGTTCCGACTGGCACAACACATTACAATTACATTTCTGACACATGAAAAATTAAAAGTTCAAGGAACAAACACTGTCTACGGTTCGACACTGTCTCGGCTGTTTGCCTCTCATAAGAAGTTAAATTGGTAGAAAATGAGTAATAAGATACCCTAGATAAGATAATAAGATAAGATAGTAATAAGAGACCAGTATTACAGAAGGGTATGCGCGCAATTTAGGACCTTCTGGAAGGCGATCAACATCCAACTGAAACCATCATGGCGGAACAAGTTTTTGACAGCTTAACAGAAGTCAAGGGTTTGCAGGTCTGTCAGAATATTTCAGCAGCTTTGACCATCCTCCTTATAGTCCTGTGATTTTTCACCTCTTTGTGCCCCTTAAAAAATCACTAGGGCAGCGATTCTATGATGATGTGGGGTTGTTGTCTTTGTCAGAGATTGGCAGGAGGCAATCCTAATTTTATTTTTAAAAAATACATTTCCTAAGCAGGAGGTTATCTTGAAAAATAATTTAATGTTATAACAACAATTATAACATTATATTTAATTCATAATTATTAATTATATTTTAAAACATTTGATAATGTAATTTTTTTAATTACCCTCAAACATTTTTTATTGAATTATGCTTAATGATTAGCCATTTTTATTCATATTGTATTATTTCATTGAAATCAGATACATCTCATTGTGAAAAATTATATTTTCATGAACAAAATGATAATTTGACTGGTGTGTAGTATGAACAAGTATAAAGCAAAAAAATCCAACCAGTGACCCTGTATTTCAAACCAACATAAAAACTTTTTTTCCCAATATCACTGGCACCTCAACAATTCATACAAATAATTAGCCAAAATAAAGAAACAACAAAAGTTTAAATTAAGTAAAAGCCTAAGGTTTTCAGACAGCCTTGTAATTTCAGTTTTATTCTTTGTAATGTTCGCATGTATTGTACCATGAAGTATTTTCAAAAAAATATAAAAAATTTGAAGTTAATTAATAATAAAAAATGGAAAGGTTTTCTATTAAGATTTTGAAACTAATATTTATCAAATACAGTCACACAGTGTACATAATTGTTTTTAAACCATAGTTTAAATAAAAACATATTTTTGGGGGACCACAGTAGTGGTTAGCATTTTTAATAATAACTTACATGGTTGTGGTTTAATTTGCATAGTCCCGCCTGTAATTTTATTTCATGCTCCCTTGCATTATGTATGTTCTCTAGCTAATATGAAAAGTCATAAGGTCGTTTAAAAAAAGAAAACAAAAACTAACAATAAGACTAATAATCATTAGAATAAAGTAACTAATTTAAAACCGCAATCAGCAGGAATGAAGCTATATACAAAACAGTAGAAAAAACAAACATACACCCCCAACCACTACAACTCAAAGCTTTGTAATGTATAAGTTTATTGTACTTATTACAGGAAAAGAAGATAATCTCACATTTCAACAAATACCTTAACATACAAAACAAAAATAAAAGTTAAAATAAAAACAAACAGATAAAATAAAAACAGACAATGGAAATGCACTCATTTACATAGTGCAAGAAGCAAAAGTGGCAACTATAATGTACTGAAAGAACTTATAATTAATTTAACTGATTTAAATTTGTTAATAATAGCAAGAAATAAATTACTTTAAGTAAAGTGAAAAGTAAATATTGACTTCAAATTATCAAAGCAATTTTGAGTGAAAATTAAATTTTTATTATTGCTTCATAGTAGTCATTTAGTTTAAAATTATTTTTAGCCTCTTCAGCATCAGATAAATAACGGTAAAATATTGTTTCTTCCTACCTTAAGCTTAAATCTGGTGAAGCACAACGCACAACTGGACTTGGAGCAGGAGGCACCACCCTCATGGCAAGGCTGGCATAATTTCTCCAGACAACCAAATACATATCTCTCTCAGTCACAGGCCGTCTCGGGGGTGCCGAGCTCCGAAGTAGAGAAGCTCTGTTGTCACTTACCGGCCTGGAAAAATCCACTTTACCAAAGAAAAAATACAAATTTAAATAGATTACTTACGTTGGATCGACAACGGAGAAAAGCATATGGAGGCGAGTGTAAACTATTGGCCAAGCGTGTGTCACAGCAGTTGGGCACTGACTCAGTGTTTTGCCTCTCTCGAGCAGGCCAAAAAATACACAAGCCCATGGGTCGCTCATGGGGCTCATTACACAAACACTACCACTGCTTGTGTTGTTCTTGCTGCTACTTTCATCTTGAATGCCTGAAAAATTATCAGCCCTCAAAACAACTTCCGATGCAAGTGGTTGAAACAATTGACAGCAGTTTGATGGTCCCTGAACTTAATCAGCCTACTCTTGTTATTTGAACGTTACATTTCTCCATTTTCAGACACCTACTTTTGCCCTTTATTTTTTTTTTATGGCAAAAAGTATGGTTTAGACTTGAAAATATATATAAATTATACTAACTTTATAAATATATATTTTTAAATTGTATTATTTTTATTTGATAATTTCCTTCACAAAAGGATTTTGTGATATAAAAGGCAACAAATTTTGTATTCCATATAAAGGGAAGAATGTACCTTGATTTAAACTTTATATACACATGTATATACATACAGACATTCAGTCACACTCATTAAACTAATAAAAACACAACAATTTAATCTCAATGACTTTATTTTGATTTGTCTTCTTTTTGTTTTTACCAGCAGTCCAGACTGATGATGATCGATCAGCAATCCACTGCATATCAACTGTAGCAGACTGAACTGCAGTCTTCTCAGCAGCTGGAAGAAGGTTCAAACATGTTTCGAGGACAAAGGGGCACCATTTTTCCATGCTGTCTATGACTGCTTCTTCGTTGTCATAAATACCTCCTTTAAAATAAAATTATTCAAAAAAAAATTAAAAACACTTGTTTTCTTTAATTTACATGTAATTAATATAACTCACCAAGGAGCTTGAGAAGCAACTTAGCCTCTCTTAAAATATGAACAGACAGCCTTCTCTGGCAAAGCCGGACACTGCAAAGCATAACTAAAGCAAAACCTTCAACATGTCGTAAAACATTACTTGCTGGCTCGATACGCTGGAAGAAAACATTATGTTTAATCTTATAAATTGTAATAAAAGACTTTAAAAAAAAAAAAATACCGGAGCATGTTCATGCCTTCTCGGTGTCGACAGCGGTGATAATTCTATTGATATTTGTTGTTGCGGTGGTGGTTGAGGTATTGGATCTTTACTCACTGCATTTTTCCAGCTTGTTAATAACTGTAGCAACATTCTTAAACCATTGTCTAGAAGTTGTGGTGAAGTATCAGGTACATCTCTTGATAAAAATTGTGTGAAACCTATCCCAACAATTATTATTATTATTATTATTAAATTATTATATAGGTTTATTTTAAATTTATCTTGCCTAATATAACATCGTGCCTCCAGTCTGGGAAATCAATGACTAAAGTCTGCAGGCTCTGATAAGCAAGTCCTCTAAGTTCTTCGTCCATATGGACTGTAAGACGTGCAAGTAAATCAATTAGTTCTGCGCTAGTTATTCCATCTGGTATGAGCCGGGGCACTGCAGCAACGCAGGTTCTAAATAAGTCGATTCTGGGTTTTCTTTCGCCAGTGATCATTTCGTCAGGTTCCTAAATTTACAGGAAAAATTAATATTTGTCATATATGATTTGTATCGGAGCTTCCCAAACTGTGGTCCGTGGACCCCTTGGAGGTCTGCTGACCCTAACTAGGGGGTCTGCAGCAAACTTCAAGAAAAATTAGTAATTACAAAATTAAACATAAAAGGAATAAATAAAATTTAGAAAACTAGTAACAATAAATACTGAAAATGAATTTTTTGTATATTTTGCATCAACAGTCAATGCATTCTACACAGACATGCTTTAGCTATGAAACAAATGCCAGCCTCTTTTAAGAAAGTTTTAGATGAGTCTGTTCAAATTACTAATTATAACAAGTCACAGCCATGTAGTCAAGACTTCTCACAATATTATGTGACAATATGGGAAACCTTCATCATTCCCTGCTTCTCCATACAGAAATTAGGTAGTGTCCCTTACAGAAATTACTTTCTTAAGTCTTATTTTATTGATGGGCCACAATGTCAAATTGGCCAATGTTATCACCACACGTTATCAATGATGAAAAATGGCAATGTACACTGTCATATTTATCAGATATTTCCATTAAAAATGAATGAGTCTTTCTTTTCAAGGGTATCACAACTTTCGATGCTAATGACAAAGATAGCGCCTTCAAAAGAAAAATTCAGTTTTGGCTGTCTGGTTTGGCCCGGTTGAGAAGGAAGAGGTGTAGTGTTTTCCTGTATTAAATGATTTCTTGAAGAAAAACTGGAGCTTGCAAGTCGCACATTAACTGATGAAATAAATGAACACCTTTGAAGTTTGGAGATGTCCTTTGAGCACTACTTCCCAACAGCTTGAGATACAACACTGCAAGACTATGAACGGGTGGTCAAACCATTTTTTGTTTCAACAAAGTCAGCCTATCTTCAAGTGAATTTTGATGTACATTACTTAGACTCTATCTTGAAAATCTACTTTTGAGTCCAATACTTATCCCCATTTTTCACACCCACCAAAAACAAAAAATTCAACCACTTGCTGAAAAAGCAAAACTTTTTACATTTGCCACAACTTGCCATTGCAAATCCGGACTTTCTATCTATTCAGCCACCAAAACTAAATAATAAAGCATCCGACATCTGCATCCAGGTATCAAAAATTAAAACTAACATATCCAAATTGTGCAGGTTAAAACAACCTCATTCTTACAAATGATTAGTTTTGAATTTGGCTCAAGTTTACCTAGCTACTGATTCCGTTCTGTTCAGTTGTACCCCAGATTTTGTATATAAAGTTAAGTATGTCAATCAAATATTTGTTTTCATAGTGATAAACCTCTGCTTCACCTAATTAGGAATTGACTGGCTAATTTATAAAACTTTAATTTACTATATACTATAAATATTTAATTTTAAATACTAGAATGAGAGGGGTCCACTCTGATTTTGTTCTGTGAAAGGGATCCGCTGGCTAAAAAGTTTGGGAAGCTCTGATTTATATACTATAACAATAGAAACATCACCCTTGCTGATTGGTCGAAGCGTTGATCTTCAACGAACATACAGGGATTTTTCCGTTTTGCTCCAGAGATCAGTAGGACATGCTTGGTTGCGAACATTCTGAGGACATGACCGCTTAACTTTTTTTTCACCATTTCTCAACCTCTGTTGATTGATTTGCAGATCATTTATTTTTAATGCAGTGAGCCTTGTTATTTTATTATTTATTGACGGTTAATTTCTTTTTTTAACCACATTCTAATATCAATATTTTATAACTTACTATATGGTACTATTGACAAATTATTTTTAAAAAAATTAATAATTGATAATTATTATCAGTAATAATAATTATTAGTGGATCTTTCCCAATCCGAACGATAGTGACATTTATTTGACAATTATTAAGAAAATTTAAGTTTAAGTTGCAAAAAAAAAAGGAATGGTAGCACATGGCTTCAGCACATTTAATAGAAGACAACCACATTCGTCAATTATATTAGTTCTTCATTAATCATAATAAAATAAAAACGCTCATTGGTATTAAAAACAAATGAACAGCAAGTCGATCAAGAGGAGTTGAGAATTGGTGAACCCAAGATAAACAGTCTTGTCTTCAGAATATTTGTGGCCAAGTGTGTCTTTCCAATCTCTGGAGCAAATAGCGTGGCAGGAGAGGTTCAGTCAATCCCCATCGTGTTCTTTAAAGATTGATGCTTCAAACAATCAGCGAGGGTGATGTTTTGATGCTGGCCATTATAATAAAGACTTACTTTGTTGACATTTTGTGTGCATGTCATCATCAAAGGCCTACCATAATGGATGTCTAGCGCTCTGAGTATGTCAACAAAGACATGGCGCACATGTGGGAAATAGGGTGACATACCAATGCTTCTAGCTGTATCTTCGGTAAGCATCTGCAAAAAACATTAAAAATAATATCATTTGTTTAAATTTATTAACAATTTTTTAACTTACTTTATTTAGAAAAGTTTTTTTGACACGGAGTGTGTTTCCTGATGGAAGAACCCCTGACGTCCTGGGCATTGGAGGCTCTCCTTCTTTTTGTTGCAAGCTATCAGCTACAACAAGGAACGCTCTGAGACCAATGCTCATTCTCTCAGGTGTGTGAATTATTTTAAATGCTGTATTGGTACGTCCGACGGATAAAAGGTCAAATACAATTTCCCTCATAGCAAAATCCAATCTTTCCTAACAGATAAATGAATGTATTAAAAGTAATTCTTCAGAAGGTTTAAAAGTGTTCTTACTTGTGCTATAAACTGAATAATTTTCACAAATATATTTAGCGGTGTATCTCTTGGGACAACGGCCTTTGACCCTTTTGGAAACAAAGAATGGACAATGCTTTGAAGTCTAGACTGTGTGGCTGAATTGCTCTCGCATTTAATCCTGATCATGTAAACCCACAAAAGCCTATAAAGTGATTCTGAAAAATAAAATTTAAACTATTTTTATTTTACTTAAAATAAAATAAAAAATTTAATTCAATATTTTGTTTAAAGAATGTAAAATTAACGTACCTAACGCGACTCGAGACATTTTGGAATCTCGATTCTTTAGATGAGACAAGCACATGGCTAAAAAATAATGCCAGTTCTGGAGGAAAAATGCTTTTTGACTCACACATAACAAACAGGTCAATAGAGGAAACAAAGCCAGGCGGTGCTTGGACTTAGTACACATGTCAAGAGTTTGCGAATACAAAGACTCGACAAAGTTTTTCAAACAAGGGACGTTCACTTCATTTTTCACACTCTACAAAACAAAGGAAAATAATTTGATACAATTTTACATTAAATTTTTTAATAATTTACCGCAGCCACAGGTACTAAAATTTCAACAAAAAGCCCGGCTAAAGCATGCTTAATGTCTTTGTCTTTAACTTCAAGAAAATATTGGGCACACTCTTGCATAAACTGAAAAGAAGCTTCGAATTCTTCAATAGGTACCATCTGTAAACAGTATTCTAGATTAAAAACTGTATGAATATAATATCTTGTTAACAACCCACCTTAACTCGAAAAAACTTCATCCCCATTAATAAAGAAATGGTGCTTTGAGTGGTATGGGGACAAGGTTCTTTAGCTCTTAACTCTTTAAGCTCTGCAAGGAATCTATTTCTCACTGATAAGAATCTAGATTGTGCCAAGGCACCAAGAACTTCTGCGTAGAGATCAGCAACAGTATGAAAATTAGCACCATTAACACCACTTCCTTGCCTGCAACACAAATTAATTTTCAAAACTAAATAAATAAAAACGGGCAAAAGATGTATTTCTTACCCTTCTCGGTATTTAAAGTGACGGAAGGATAAATTTTCTATATAAGTAACCAAATCTTCATGTCCAGGGTGAAAATGTAATTGTTTCAAAACTTCAATGAGCATTAAACAAAGTAAAAATTCAACCGCAAGATCTCTCTTCTCTTGTACTGCATCGGTGTCAGCTCTTTCAGTCGCCTCTCTAAAATGATTGCGATATTTAAAATGTTGTTGATGATTGATAAAATATAATTTTTACCCTTTTCCTTTTTGTTCTATCTTTTTAGCCTCTTGGACAGGCTCTCCCATCTGTCTTTCATACCAATCAAACAAAGCTCGCAGAATCGACGGTAGACAATGTTCAGCAGCTGAACCGAACACACTCAACAATTGGTCAAACTGTGCATCTTCACCCCTTTGCAGAACTTTTGACAATGTTTTTTCCTATTTCAATTATAATGTATACATTATAGTTTGTTTAAGCGGAAAAATCCTTAGAAAATAATAATTCAAACCTGTGGTTCTGACAGTACAGCTTCGATTTTTCTTTCAGCCTGGGTTGTAAACTCCGTGAAAAGGGTGCGCATAACAAATTCACCAGGTCTAACATCAAAATCTACATTTTGGGAGCTTCTTTCTTTGTGGGTGCCCCATGGTAGTAGAGAGACTATACTTCCACTGCCTCTCTCGCTTTCCATGTCTGATAAATATATTTATTAGATATTATCACTACGTTTTATTGCATGTACATACCTATTGATGTTGGAAGTGTGTCTGTTGTGCTAGCATTGTGACTGTGCGAATCACTCCCTTCGCTATTCCTCGCATGAAGGGAATCGCCTGTCTCACTATCGGAGTTGTTACCACTTTCAACGCCACTTTCTTTAATTTGAGTTGAACGTCAGCAAATTATAGACAGGAAAAAATACAAAACTCTAATAGCAATTTATCTAGTATGGTGAGAAGTCTCTTGACTTGTTATAATCAAACTAGTCCAATCAATGACTCAGTAACTACAGTATTATCTTAGTATTCTACTTGTTGAACCCAACAACATCTAGATAAGGTCAATATAAGGAAGTGGTTGAGGTATGTAGCAAAAATATATTTACACTTTACCATTTTATAATTTTTTTTTAAATTAACTTTGATTAAAAGGTTATTTTGAGGATAAAAACCAAAGATAATATAATTTAGTTTATCTTTTGCAGGGCAAATAATTAAGATATTATACAATCAATAATCCAATTCTTTCAGAAGCAGTTTTTGGGAAAAACTTAAAATAAAATATGTAATAAGTAGATATTTTGCAAGAATCTGCAAATACAATTAATTTGATGATTGTCATTGTTTTGACTTTTTAGTAATTGGCTTGCCATATTCAGTTTATTATTTATTTGATGTGTGCTTAAAGAACACAAAGCGCAACTCTGGCCAGTTACTTTACCAAAGTTGTCAGCAATAAAAGAAAAGAACAAATTAATTTATGTTTTTCCACAATTTTTTACTCAAAAAAATGACAGTACTGATATTTGTATATGATTCTTACTATCTTGGTCTGCCTACCTCGGTGAGTTGGTCTGTCACATGCAATTCAGCATTTTGCCATCCAAAAAAAGAAACAACTTAACAAATATCACCTGGACACTGAAGATGGCAAAAACAAACCGACCAATCCATCAGATCAAATTGCAGGTGTTAAAGGGTTAATATTACAGGGTTTTTTCAATATTTAATACTTGCAATGACATTATTATCTTCTTAATAATATCTGCTTATAAAACCACTGGCTTGTCTAGCATAATTTTTTATCACAATTGACAGCAGTGAATATATGAATAAATAAATCGAATTTTGAGTAAAACTGAATCAGCACCCTTGCCAGGAACTTGGTCTATAAGTGCCTAACTCATAAGAGGGTAGGGATGCGTTTCACACCTTTATCTCTAATTGCTCTCCAAAATTCACTCACTAAATCCGACACACATACTTCATTTAGAGTTAGTATGCTCCGTTCATATACTACCACTTACAGAATCTGCTGGTCTGATTTGACACTGTACAAAAATTGGAAAACATTATAAGTTGGAAACGTCTACATGAAAGAAGAATTTTTAACATCCAGTAGAGAATAATGAAAATATATATATATCTTAAGATACAAGATGGTTTGGGCCTCCCCCTATCCATCAGGTCAATCGTATGTCTATTCCTTGCCATCGGGCCTTATGCTCCAAGCCCAGGCCCTTTCTGGGGTGGATGGTTTTTTCCCTCACAACAGTAACCCCATTATGAGGGAATGTGATTTATTAAACTAACATGTGTCACATAAAGTATAATGTCTATAATGTACAAATATAAATACAATTACAAATCAAATATACAAAATTTGGTGTACATGGTGAAAACATTAGTGTTAAAACTAAAATTATTATGTTAGTAATGAAAAGAATGTGAATAAACATAAAATTATTATTAATCAAGAGAAGGAGATATAACAAAATGAAGTGAACATTTTGTAATGATTTAATTTTAAATAAAACAAAGCTGCAAAACAGAAATAAGTATTTTCAATTAATTAAAATACTTCAAAATGGATTTTGGTTAGAAACTGTTTAAAAGTGCTAATATTTCGGGCGAAATAAATAGGTCTTGACAATGACTATTTATGTCCTGTTGTAGATGTATGCGGTATTAAGTCGTGTTTGTAAGGTTCAAGCTGTGGACAGTGATATATAAAATATTCCCATGTTTGATCAGTTAGTTGGTCACATAAACAATTTGAATTTTCAATACTAAGAAATCTATTCAAGTAATATCGTTCTTATGTCCTTTGTTAGCTAAAAACCTCCGTGCACCTGTTATGCGTACTGCATAAGGAATTTAACTTCATAGTTGTCGCAGGTCAACTGACTGGGGATGGTGATTGAAAACCCTTATCTGCAACGCATCCCACATGAGCTTAATGGGATAAGTCTGGAGAAAATGGAGGAAGAAACAGTTGGGAACTTCCCAGGCTTTCTAGACATTGATGAACAACTCTGCCTCTATGAGGTCTGGCATTGTCATCCAGAAATCTAAAATCCCTGTCAATGAGAGGTTTGGGGGATGTATTCCTCGATAATCTCCTGGGCATAACGGACTGCAGTGAGGTTGCCTTCAACATTGTGAATCCAGTTCGCCCTCCAGTATAAATCCCAGGCCAGACCATTACACCGCCTCCTCCAAACTGCACTGGAGGGAGAACAAACTGTGGTGTTGTGCGCACCCCTATTTTCGGTAGACTCTTCTGCGCCTGCAATCACTATAGACAGAAACGCAACTCATCAATGAACACAGCATTCCAGTTAGTGTTCTCTTCTAGGCACTCGCTGCTTATTCTCTTGAGTAGCTGTTGCTGCAGGTCGTCTCAAAGGGGCCTACTTCCCACAAATGAATACTAATTATTAATATATGAATCAAATAAAGGCCTTGCCAAAACATCTTGTACTTCATTTAGGATCTGGCAGGCACTATGGAAATGATTCTGTCTTGCAGCAACGACAATATTTCTGCCCTCCCTTAGCGACGCAATGCGCTGAGATCCGCTACCAGGCCTCCTATTGGCACTTCCAATCTCTTGAAATCAGGAAAAAGCCCATGAGACCACTGCTTCTGCGATATCCAGTTGGTGTCATCAATGACTCAGTCTCACAATAATACTACTTCTAGAAGATGCTACAATATTATCTGGTTCAAGATGATGACTTTCCGTGTTAAAGAGAATACAAAACTGGATTACAATAGAAAAAAGACGAGAAAAGGTTTGTTTACAAAATGAGTAATCTTCATGTTTACTATTTTTAAGCAAAATCCCTTATTAAAAATAAGGATTCACATTTCCTTGTTTTTGGTTTGTATTTTTTATTTTGTTTTATCCAACTAACAAGAATATATCGGTTAATTTAAACGAAATTGATACAGCAAGAATAAACGTTACAAATGTCCCTATTCATTTTTGAGCAGTTTATATCCTAGTTAAATTGTGTACGATTAATCGTTTTAAATAAAACCATTTTGAAGTTTTAATAACGATGTGTTTTTTTTAGTGATCTGTTGTTTAGTAATTAGTTGGATTAGTGAGGAAGGTCAAGATAGTCAAGATTTCTTGGTAGTCCTCACGAATACAAAAAATAAAACATTGAATTATACATTTTATTCACGTGATGGTATGGGTTTTCTAGATAATATACATATATATGTATACATTTAAAAAGAAAAACAGTGTTAGAAACGTTATCAATCATGCTTACCATCGATTTCATCGCTGTCAACGTCCTGCCACAACATTTTGCCTTTTGAAAATAAAATCAACTCATCGTCCGCGAAGTAGGCGGGCTTTTTGACCAGTCTCCTCTAAAACGATCTTCGGTCGAAAAGTCAAAAATGGTCAAACCAAATTTGACTCGGCTCTCGGACGTAACCCTCCGCTCGGCTAAACACGATTCTATAACAGTCGGCCTCCCTCCCGGTTGTTTACAGTTTTTCCGTGTCACCAACATAGGAGTTGAGAAAAGGCGAGAAAATTTCAGTTTTCCCAAAGATTTTCAATGAATCGAAAGAGCTGAGAGACGATCGAAAGAGAGAGGCCGTTAAAATAGAACCGTCCCCGATTGACAAGAGTCCTGAGGATCAGACCGACGAGTAGACACGTGTACCTTAGTTATCCGAGTGGGTTTCCAATATTTCACCCACCCCCGGCAAGATGATGGTCCCGAATAAAGAGAAAACTTCGAAACTGCTCGAACACCTGAGGAAATTCCGCTTCCAGAAGAAACAAGGCTACACTCAAGAGCTCCAGAGTGAGTATCTATGTTGATCTCTACAAATCAGCATTTTTACAGGAGACCGGAAAGAATTTCAACCGCAGTCTCACATTTCCGTATCAATTATGCAATTTAAAGCAGTAGATTTCGTTTCAACAGACGTGATATGGACGCCACTTTGCTGGTTCGAAACCATAAATCCATTGCCCACCAAAACTACGATGGTGCCATGCACCCTGCATCTGATGGACTAGCACCAATCTTTATCTATACAGTTGTTACAATCTGCCCCAAGTCCCAAAGCGATATTGTTCTTTGAATCTTTCATACAACTCGAGAGGCCTTGGCTAAATACAAAGCTTATTTTTTTATTAAACAACCTTTAATTTTTTAAAAAAATGAAGTACACTGATACAAATTTGTATCTTCATTACCACCATATGACAGCCTAAAACACCAACAAGTTCTCTATGGTTTAGATCCCTTCCATATGGTATGGGTCAAGACTACCAATATCAATAAATATAACAATAATTTGTGCTTAATCACAATCGTATATAAAGTAACCACAGTTGCTGTGTGGATAGGCAACCTATGCCACGCTCTCAGTTCTGTATTCGAATCCCGGTAGAGCCCGTGGCTTTTTTTAATAGATGAAAAATGTAAGTATTGAGTTAGGGATCCAATAATTTTTTTTTTCTGACCTTGTGTTGACACATCTAGAACAGTGGGTCCATCCCCAAATAAGAATGAGCAGACTTGGTCACTAGGTAAGCAACCCTAGACCCAAGCAACCGGAATTAGAGCTGATATGATTGCAATTAATTGTAAAATTATGATATTCCATACACATGCAAGTCCGACAAGGGACACTGGTGGTCAGTTAGAATATCTGGTTCCGTTTATTAGCCATGCTGTTGGTTAGGGTTCGAATTCCGCTAGAGCCCATGGCTTTTTGATTGATGAAAAATTGTAAGTTAGGAATCAATAATTTTATTTTTTTTCCTGACCTTGTGTGGACACATCTAGCACAGTAGGTTCATCCCCAAATAAGGAGCAGAGCCTGGCCACCCAGATTAAATTATGTATGACCAGCCTCTTTACAACTTGGGCTCTGTGACCAGTATTTGTCAATTGTGCATTTCCATTCTTTTTTTTATGCTTTAGGCTGTTTACCAAGCCCCAGAGCTTTTTCAAGGATCCTCTCCCAGGATTAGGAATCTGCTGCATGGCCCTTTGTGCCAATGTGGTCATCTTCCACTCTTTCTTCTTATTGATGACTATCTATACAAGCTTGTTTCTGCCTCTCCGAGTCTATGCTATGCCTCTGAGTCTGCAGTGTCCAGTCAGCAGTTCAACTATTATTCTAGCCCTAGCACATACTAGATTTAGCAGTTCTGCCATTAGTTCCTGCATGGTCCTTTGATGAACATAGCATTCCACATATGGTACCTGTGGTACATTCGGATCAGTCGAATGCAGTCCTCCTGGTTCATTCTCATACTCGAGACAAGTGTGTTTACACAGAAAGAAACAAACTACATGAAACATTTTGATGCACACTAAAAAACCAACAGCCTGGTCGGCTAACCTCAAAACACCCTCACGTCAAAAGTTTTGCAGTCCCGGCTAGGTATCTTAAATGTGAGACAAGTTTCACGAGTGATTTTCACACAGTGGATTTCTAGCTTAAGGATGTCCAAACCTACAAAATGAAACTGCTTCAAAGTACCTGTTTTTTAACTTGATTCTGTGAAGATTTGTTTTAAATATTTATATGTGGAAATCTGAATCTAAAGGCTGGAACACATTGTAAGAGTGAATTCCATGTTATAGCATTATTTAAATCGATTTTACCTTGTATATATTTATTTATTATTTGATTTGTCTTATATAATTTTCAGATATGCGGCAAGAGATAGAAAATTCATCAAGGAGCCCTCATCCTCGTGAAACATCAGAATCTGATGATGAAAATTCTGTTAGCAGCAACAGCAATTCAAAGTTCCCATCAAGACCCAATTCAGGTAACAATTTTATAACTACATCCATGGAATTTAAATTCACTTCTGGTCTTGTCTGCCAGCCACCAAAACCTCTAACATTATCCATATATAGTTCATTTCAGCTACCAGATAACCAGAAAAGTTCACATGGGTTTAAAGGGTTTAATAATTGTCACAACTAAAATTAGTTTAGAAATATTTTATATGGGGAAATAATCTCCATCCACATCTATAACCTTCTCCCAATGAGTTACTCGCCCTTATTATAGAAGTTTGGGACCCAGGATTTAAAAAATAAATTTAACTCATTTTCCAGCTATTGGCAATTATCGAACTCCTGATTGCGCATATGATTGTCCATTGTTAAGAAAGTTAGATGATGCCAGGACTGGAGAGTAAACTTCATTTTGGCTGTATGAGGCCTCGTATTAGTGAACACCTTTTCTGTCGACGAGAGCAGGTTGTTTCTGAGCCCGAACAAGAAATATTCGTTGCAGTTTGCTAGAGTAGAATTATTGCAGTGATAGTCTGGTCTAAGTTTGTAGTGCACCAACCACAAGTACCACCTTTTGTTAGTGAATATTCGGTTTTTGCGACAATAGGACAGGGTTATTTGGTGGCAGCCGATGGTATGTTCTGGTTATACAGGATTCATTTTTTGGCAATCTGATCAAAAAACATCTCAACTTTGTGCTGAGAAAACAATGAAAGGCAAATTTTTGCTAAACCTATTTGCTCAGCTTACATGTCTGTCCAAGTTGATATAAGCAAGAGCAAAATGGTTTCATCACTTACAAACTGACATATTTGACACTAATCAAGATAGATTACTTAATTTGTCATTATTTAAGACAAAAGGTTAACCAGACTGTGCTTCATTTTCAATCAGCTCATTCCCAGAAGGAAACTTTCTAAACCACTTTTGGTCACAATGTGTGACACAAATAGAGTAAATTTTACTACCTAATTCGGTCACCTTATAATGAGCTTAAATTCATGCGATAAGGTTTTGAATCTGTGAGAAAATTAACATTTTATAATTTACAATGAACTATTCAGGTCACTTACTGTTGTTGATTTATTGTTGGTATTGTGTGATGTAAACACCTCTGTTTAAAAAGAGTTGATTAATGATTTTAAAACAATAATAAATGAAAAGCCACATGAATTTTTCTGTGTATAAAATAAACATTTCAGGATAATAGAATATCATTTACTTAAGTAGGATAAGTGTTCTACATTAAGTTCTCCTGTATAACAGGAATTACTTTACTTTTTTTACATAAGAAACTTGAGAGTACATATTATGTGGAAGACCCTATTGTAGAGCCCTTTTTATACCCTTTATAATTTTCAGACTATCCTCCAAATTTAAAATTTGTTAAAGATTTGTTATATCATCGACATTCAGTGTTTATGTTCTATATTAATTAACAAATCCAACTTATTTCAGTGAATGGGAAGTTTGAAAACAATGGTGTACACTCAATTTCTGATTCAGAAGATTCCCAAAGCCAGCAATCACCAAAGAAAAGTAGAATTAAAAATAGGGCATCCCTAAAAGATAATTCCCCAGGTTGGAGCTTGTAATATGTTCCCCCCTCCCAAACTTCTAAATTATTTGTCATACTTTTAGAATTAAGCACGAAAAAGTACTCGAGGATAAAAAGACAAAGAAGTGGTTCGTCTTCGGATGAAAAATCGCCGAGAAGGGAAAAGAAAAGGCCCGCCATGAAAAAATACAAATTTAAAGGAGCGGGTAACAACTTTAAATCCTGTTGTTTAAACACTTTTTGTTATTAGATTTTCATTTTAGAGAAAAAGGTTGAAAACTTTTCTGATGAAGAGGATAAATGGAGTGATAGAGTCATAGAAAGCAGGTATATTTCAATACACATATTCCGTACCACAAGTCCGTAGCATTTTTCAGTAATTTAATTTTTCTTGTGTTTTGAAAAAATGTTTATTTATTTTCTTCTTTTTTGGTATGAAAATTATTTTTTATTTTAGGCTTTTTTGGAGATACAATTTAAATGAAATTATTAACGACTTGTGTCATTTTCAAGACTTTGTTCCCAGCCAGCTTGTAGGTAGAGCTATTACCAGTTCAAGACATTTATCTCTTAAAAAATTAAATTAAGAATTTAAAATGTTTTAAAAATAAATATCTTGAAAATGGCACAAGTTGCTGAAATGTTGAAACATTTTTTTTTTTTTTTTACCTTCAAAACACCTAAAAAATAAAATAATGGTGTTTATTTAGTCATTATTTTTTACACACTGAAAGGGATTAGTTAAAGTGTGTTTATTCGTCAGATTCTTGTCAGATTTTGTATTCTTGCATGTTTTGCTAATTGAAAACAGAGCTTCAGACTGTTAGGAAAATTTGTGCTATGTATCCTGGTGGCGCTTTGATGACAGTTGCAAAGTACTCTTCACCTGTTGATTATGACCAAATACAAGCTTTTGTCACAAATAACTAACACTCCATATAAAAAACATAGCAGAGACACTTACCATATGTCATATGAAGAGAGAGAAGTATTTCACCGATTCTGACAGCAGCTAAATATGTTTGTTGGAATGATATATCCGTTCCTCACATGTTGGCAGGGAAAAATTTATTGGACGGCGTCTCCATTTGTGATTCTTTCCTAAAATACAATGTAAATTTATTAATTTTGAAAATAGCTTCATAATGGGATGACACGCCAGAAATGGTTGGAGTTTGCCTGAATGTGTTACCCACCATATTTGCCTGGAAGTGTTCCTTCAAATTTTCACTTATTCTATGCTCGCAAAACTATTAAAAGAAAAATCTTTATTTCACTTGAGAACTGCAAAAAACACATCTTCATCAAAATCCTTGAGAAGTCCTGGTAAGAAAACAACAAAATTTCATGAAAGATGGTAATAGATAGTAGAACAAAATCCTTCATCTTTTTTATTCCATTTATTTACAAATGCCCACAATTTTCATTTAATTTACCATTAAAAAAATGCTATAGACTTATTTTACAACCGGATATAAAATGCAGTCATTAACAATGTATAATTAATGTTCTGTACTTTTACATTGCAGTGAAGAGGATAATTCTGATGTTGAGATATCTGATGATATGACCCACTCGAAACAAAAAGTGTTTGACTTTCTGAATACCGCAACAAAACTTGAGTTACTGCAAGTTCAGACATGTACGGAGAAAAAAATTGTTTACATTTTTAATCTCAGGCCTTTTACAGGATGGAAAGATCTTGTAAGTTATTTCAGATGTTATAAAAAAATTGCAAAAGTATCATTCATATAAATGTGATGGACTATTTGTCAAAATTTTAATTCCCTATTTCTCAATTGTTTTAAATCAAAAATTTGACCCACATCAGTACAATGTTCTAATTGATGAAAATAAGAATTGAAAATCAAATAATTCATGAACCATTCTTGAAAACATTATTACTTTATGATTTGATACCAAAATTTGAAACTGGGTTCAAGATTTCAAGAAAACAAAACATTACAACTATATTAGCACATCGTTGAGTATGATGGTATTAGCCTTCAATGATAAATGATAAAGCTAGGTGATCAGGGATGAAGCCATGGAGGTAAAAAAAAATTTTTTAATAAACAAACTCTTAAGTAAATAGAATCCTGAGGAAGTAGTTTGCATCCAAAAACAAGTTGATTTTTGTACTTTCATGGCTTCATCCCTGGTTTCCTAGCTTTATTATATATTAGCACATATAATTTTTTGTAACAGAATGTGTGTTTTTGATTTTAATTATAACTTACTTTCAATTAATTTCTTCTTTTTCAGGTACTAAAATTCAAAAGTGGGAAAAATTTAAGCCCAGAATTTTTAAATCATACGGTAAAAATGCTGAAAAGTAGAGACATTGTTGCAAGACTGATGAAAAGGTGTTTGAAACTGGCCGTTTCAACAGAAAAAGCCATCATCGAAGGATCAGCCATGCTTGAAAAGCAACCTTCAATTATGACTGACAGCCTACAGTTGAAAAGCTACCAGATGGTAGGCTTGAATTGGTTGGCCGTCATGCACAATCAGGGTTTAAATGGTATTCTCGCCGATGAAATGGGCCTCGGCAAAACAATTCAAGTCATTGCGTTTTTATCTTATTTGAAGGAATCTGGCTTTTCGAATTGCCCTCATCTTATAGTCGTGCCGGCCAGTACTATCGATAACTGGGCAATTGAATTTACAAAGTGGTCACCGACTTTGAACGTCGTCATTTATCATGGAAGTGCTGATGATAGAAAAGCTTTGCGATACGAATGGGCCAAGGACAAGTTCAAGTCGATGGACGTCATCATAACAACGTACAACATCGTTGGGAGCAATCCAGAAGAAAAGAAAATGTTCAGGATCATCAATTTGCACTATGTTGTTTTTGACGAAGCTCACATGTTGAAAAATATGAATACACAGAGATATGTAAACCTTTATAACATCAACGCAAAACGGAGAATTTTGTTGACAGGGACTCCTTTACAAAACACCTTGCTAGAATTAATGTCTCTGTTGAACTTTGTTATGCCAAATATGTTTTCCAGATGCATAGATCATATAAAAGCATTCTTTTCAAAATATAGATCAACTGCTGATGACGATATCAGTGCTTTTGAAGAGGAACAAATCGACTTAGCTAAAAGAATTATGAAGCCCTTTGTCCTTAGAAGGCTTAAAGATGATGTACTTAAAGATCTTCCTGAAAAAACTAGTACAGTGATTTTTGTTCCTCTTGAAGAGGAGCAGCAAGAAAAATATGACAATATGTTAAAAGAGCTCAAGGAATGGGCTGAAACCAAAGAAGAAGGTTTTAGCGTATTGTCTTCGTTTATGCAGCTGAGAAAACTAGCCAACCATCCTTTAACATGCCGTTTTCACTTTCAAGTAATCATCAATTAATAACACATAATATTTATAAATATCTACTTATAACATGATTTTAGGAAGAAGTGTTGAAGGATATTGCAGACCGTTTAGCTTCAGATGAGACTTACAAAGAGACAAGAGAACATTTTCTGTATGAAGATCTTTGCTACATGTCAGACCATGATATACACAAATTAGCCAAAGAACACACATCCATTTCAAAATTTAAACTGAACGACAAATTTTTCCTCACGAGCGGTAAATTTAAAAAGCTAGATGAAATATTGCCCAAGTTAAAATCAGAAGGTCATCGTGTAGTCATATTCAGCCAGTTTCTTTTCATACTGGATCTTCTTGAAGAATACTTGCGTATTCGCGATCACACTTTTGTACGACTCGATGGCTCGACAAATATTTTAGATAGGTAAACTGCAGTTTATAACTAAAATATTTTGTTCAACTCATGAAGTGATTTATTGTTTAAATTGTCATTTTCAGGCAAGAATTAATAGATAATTTTAATGAAGACTCGGACGTTTTTGTGTTTCTTTTGACGACCAAAGCCGGTGGAGTTGGAATCAATCTAACTTCAGCTGATACTGTGATAATCCATGATGTCGATTTCAATCCTTATAATGATAAACAGGCAGAAGATCGTTGTCATAGATTGGGACAAAAAAGGTTGTAAACTAATGCATATTATTCTCAGTATAATCTTTTATACACAATTATAAATAGAAATGTTTTAAAAACTGAGGTTATCCTTTTTATGAAACGTAGACCGTGCATTAATAAACAGGCAATCATTGGGTATACTAACCACCGTGAACCAATAAAGTAAAATACCTTGGTGTAGTGTTAGCTAGCAAACTTAATTTTAATTTTACAGCGCATGTTAACAAATTGATAAGTAAAGGTAAAATAGCAAAAAAAACTCTCCTTTTTTTAATAGGGAATCATAATTAAGTGTAAATATTCAAATATCCCTGTATAAAGCCATAGGCCAATGCTTGCCTACACATGCCCATCATCAAGCCTCATGTGTGCAACAAACTTTAAAAAGCTACAAAATAAATTTGTAAGGCTTGCTACCTCATCTCTACAGTACACAAAATATTTTAACCTATGTGTATCCACTGGAATCCCATGAAGTATTCATTCAAAGAAGTATTCTTGCAAGGGATGCTTAAATTTTTTAGTAAAGTTTCAAAAAGCCCTAATGCCATATGTAGAGTAATAGGTACAAGATATACAACTATACACAAATACAAATAGAAATTAGGTGGAAGCACAGAAAGGCGAAACACCTAATTAACAATGTTTAATATCTTCGTAACATTTTCACAACCCCCCACATTCTAGCCATTAACAATTAAATGTACATAAATATTACCTAATGTAATTTATGTACATATTTATTGTGAGCAAGAAATACAAATAGTTACACATATTCAGTACCAAATGTATTTACTTATTGAATAATATATTCCATTAAGAATTAATTCAGAGCTTTGTGATTTTTTCACAATAATTTTTCCCACAAACTATAAATGTTGTTGTAGTTAAAACCTTAATTAATGTAAAATTAAATATTTATATGCACTGCTTGCATGAGAAGTCATAGGGTCCCACCACTTTACCCTCAAAAACATATTCATCCTGCATGTACAAATCTGATCAATAAGTCTTTACACACCAGGAAATGTTAGAAATGTTCAATTGTAGTGAATAAACTATTTGATTAATTTGTTATTATATAAAACAGAAATTCTTAAAAGAATTACGACCACAGTGGCCGAGTGGTTAGGGTGTCTGACTCATATTTGCCGCACTAGGCAATCTTCGTTTAAATCCCGGTATTGCCCATAGAGCTTTTTAGTTTAAAATAATGTGAAAAAGTACTTACAGGTTTTACCTTTCGTCCACGACACCGAGAAAGCATTGTAATTCCTGTTGTATAGGAGTTTAGTGTAGTGGACAAGAATTTTGGATAGTTTAGAAAATACTGGAAATATTATATGTTCAATTAGCAAATAAACATCAGATTAAATCCAATTAATTTGTAAACAAATGATGTTCTTAGTTCATTAATTATGCTTTCTTGTTCAATCTGATTTTCTAAAACTATTGTCAGATCTTTGGATCAGACAGTCTGTAATTTCTATCAAATCCGACAGGTTGATGCTTGATACTTCATAGAATTGCTATGCTTGTGTCAGCATCAGACATCCAATCCAACAGTCGATTCAATCAAATATAATATTTGTGATTATCCTAGGGGTGGCAGAGTGATTAAGGCATCCAGCTCGTATGTGCCACATTAGCGGTTTTGGGTTCCAATCCTGAGATTTGTGACATTGGACAATTAGACACTAAGCCCTCCTGTATGACAGGAATTATTTTACTTTATATTTAATTTGTGATTATCCGAAACGTATAGAATATCATTTGGAGAAATTGTTATATTAACGTTTTAATTTTCTTACACAGGCTGCTTTCTTATAGTCATCAGTTATTTAGGAAAATTATACTGTATAAATCACCAGTTTATTGTTTATTTCCTTCTTCTTCAATATACACCAAATATAAGTACATGAATATAACCTTCCTAGATAAATTATATCACATATTTGCAAAAAGTTAGATCATGATCAAAGAAGAAAAATATTCTCTTTTGAAGAAAATTATTGTCAACTTTCTTGAGCACAGTCAGTCTTTAGAGAAAAATACTTCTTAGCAGTTGGCACACTAACTTGCTACACCTGCCCACATCTTCATCATATATCACATCAATTTTCTTCATATTTGACCACCATTTTTCTCCATTCTAAAAATAAAATACCAATGTCAAAATGATTTTTTGTTCTGTCTTGCATCTTGACAAGAATATGTAGTAATTGAAATTATAAGGAAAATTCTGTTGTAATAATTGATTATTGTATATTTTATGTTCGAGTTATTATCATGGAACTTCAATTAGTTGTTTATAAGTGATTTGCTGTGTGTAGTATTATTATTATTATTTATATACTAATATTATATTAATAATTCATTAATTTAATAACAACCCTAACCATCTCTAAACAATAATTACATTTTTCTCTCAGGTTTTAGCATTTCATAATTTTCAGTGGTGTAATCACTTGATGGAAAGAATTACAACAAACTTGATCAAAAAATTGTGACAATAGGCAGGAATATTAATGGAAATTCAACGTGTACCATTTTCTTAAATGTTAAATCATAATCTGAAAATGATCCCATTTTACATTCCTCCTCACCTTTTTGTTAATTCTATGCCACTTCATTACGTTTTCAATTTAATTACATTTTATTCGTATACTTAAGTCTGGATATTGGGTAGTTAAATATAAGACAATAATTATGTCATACGATGTATGTCTTTATGTAATATTAATAAATTTTCAGGCCAGTGCAAATAATGAGGTTTGTGAGCCAAGGAACAGTCGAAGAGAAAATTTATGCTTGTGCTCAAAGTAAACTGGAACTAGAACAGGGTTTAACAAGTAAGAAAATTGATTTATCTACATCTAATTTCATATTACACATAAATATACAGGTTTAACTTATGTTCCCTCCTATATTTTATATATATTTTTACTGTGTCGTTTTTGTGAAAACCCTGAGATATGTAAATTTTTATTTTGTACAATTTCTCGTGGGCCATTCATTTCAGATGGCAAGATACTCATCAATATGTACATTTTTTGCAAACTAGAATTTGCACAAGGCTGGAGGAATTGTTTTGAAATTTTTCTTTCTGTACCTTGCAATTAATTTAATATCTATTAAAATAATTAATTAATTAATTGGTTCTTGGTTGAAGATCTTGCTTATAAAAAAGTGTTTGGGAAGATTTTGAGAATAACTTCAGAACAATTGCTCAAAAGTAAAAACTGTTTGCACTATAAGAAACTAGACAAAAAAAATATGTTTCTTATGGGAACAATAGTTAAATTCACCCTATACAATATTTGTTGTATATTTAATGCATTGATATTTATTTCAGACAATAAAGAAGACGAGGAAGATGTAGGTAAAAATGTCGCTTTGCTACTGAGAGAGACCCTAGGGTTGAAAAAGTAATCTCGTTATTCAAGGAATCCATCACTCCCATGAAAAAATTAAAAACAAAACATTTTAATTTTAATTTTACACTGAGGCACACAAAAAGATATTTTTTTTCAGAGGAACTTTCACAGCGGTGCCTTACTTGTGATATTAGACCTAATGTACAATAAAATGTTTTAAAAAAATTAGTAATAATTTAAATTGGGTTGGTTGAACATTGTTGCTGTTTTTTGTCCTCCTCTTGTGTATTTACCTTTCATTCCAAACTGTTTTGTATTGCGTTTTTGTTTATTTGTTATTTGTTTTTACGTGTGATAAACCATCTCGTTTGATCAATGCTCCTCATTGATAATATCCATTGAAGAAAACATTTGGATAAAAGCCATTGTTTTCAGTTTGGTAGTTTGCCAAGTACAAATTAGCCACCTACAACATCAGATTTCATTCATATCAATTATCTACTTTTGTTAGTTCCTGAAACACATAAAATGTGTTATTCTTAAAAAAAAAAAATGATTTTTCTTAATTCAATAATTGTGATTTTAAATTATACTTGTGTACGTATTTTAGGCATTTGAGTGAGATAGTTTTAATTTAAAATAATGTTATAAAATTTGTTCATTTCTTGAAAAAAAAATTGAATTATTGAATATTGTTTGTGACAGAAAATATCATTCTGCCAAGGCTCTGCACAGGTGCATGAAATTTGTCAGTTAAAATATTTTAAATCATTTTCCCCCAGACACAAATGTATTATCCAGTCCAAACCTTTTGTTGATGTACAGCCAAGTTCTTAAAATAAACATATACATCTAATAGGCTAGATTTAAACCCTTAATGGGTGATGTGAACATAAATAATATATTCATTCTTATTTTTATCACGTTTTTTTTTTTTTAATTAATGATTGGATTTTACAAATAGCGAATACTTCTTCAACAATGGACATAGTACAAACAAAGATAATTAAACTGTTCCTGTTATTTGTAATATGTAGCCACATTGATGTTTATTATTGTAATTGATAAATAGCAAATATCCACAATGAACATGAAATAAACCAAATTCATTAGGTTTTACTTAACCCTGTAGTCTGATAAATATTATTAACCAATTGTTGTACTTCTTTTGAACAATGAACGATGAAAAATTTGGCTGTCTTAATACTCTTAAAACAATAAACATGGAAAAAACAATAGAATTGATTAAGTTTTATTTAACTGTGTAGCCTGTTAGATGCTGTTCATTAATTCTTTACTTATTTTAATACAATGAATATACAATTAACCTCGTATTATGATCAAATTAATTATTGATAAATAGCAAATATTTGTTATAAACAATAGAAAAAGTTTTATTTAACTGTGTAGCCTGATTTATGTTCTTACTTAATTATTGTGCTTCTTTTGAACAAAGTAAAAATAATTTAGCTGTCTTGTTTTTAATCTCTGTAACCTGTTCATGTTTTTAATTCATTATTGATAAATATCAAATGTATCTTTAAACAATTAAAACTATGAAATAAACAATAGAAATGATTCATTTTATTTAAATGTATAGCCTGATCTATTAATTAATTACTGTATTCCTTTTGAAAAATGAACAAACAATAAAAGATATCTTTAATCTTTTGAAGTTTTTATCTCTGACGCCTGGTCAAGTGTTTTATTTACTTACTGATAAATATAAAATATCTTTTAAACAATTAATACCATGAAACGAATAAAAGAAATGATTAAATGTAATTTATCTGTATTGCCTGATCGATATTTTTAAATAATTATTTTATTTATTTTGAATAATGAACATACAATAAAGAATAAAAAATATCTTGAATATTTTGTTCAACTTTTTTTTAATGTTTAATGTTTACTAACAACTTTTTCAATTCATAATGTCAGCTATTTGTTCCATACAAAGTTAAATTAACATGTAATAAAATTAAACACGTTGAATTTATTAATTATAAAGTGAAAATGGATAGGTTTAGGAATTTTTTATATCAGCTTTTTTTTAGCAAACCATTGGTAATCAAATATAACAAGCTGGCTAGAAGGACCGATGTCTTAAGCCATTTATCAATGTTAGCCATGCCGGGTTTCACAAAAACCTGATTGTTTGCCAGGAGGAGGAACAGGTGACAACAATCAGGACCACTCTAACTTTAGAAAAACGTACGAATCACTGACATCAAACGGTGGTCAACAGTTTCCCTTGGTCTGAGCCTCTAAAAGGGTCCATTGAAATGTGAACTCATGAACCAATTTCATTATGCCGTGGATAGTATGGATTTTACTTTCGATCGCCACTTTAGGTGCTGAAAAGGATTTACAATTTCAATTATAACTCCGCTAAGAGTACTATTTTTTTCCCCTTCAGGCGATTCTATCAAGGTAAAACTGGTCGTTCCAAAATTTGTAAAATCCGGATCGACGGCAATACTTGTATGCCAGTACAACTTGGAAGGTAAAAAATTATACTCTGTCAAATGGTACAGAGGGAACCATGAGTTCTTCAGGTACATTCCAAGGGACATACCTCCCATGAAATCGTTTCACCTCCATGGGATAAACGTGGATGTAAGTAATTAAATATAACCAATGGAATAATATATCTTTAAGAATTTTTTTTTTTGAGCAACAAATTAACCACTGACAAAGCAAAAGGAATAAAGTTAATTAAATTACATTCATATTATAGGCAAAAAATAAAAACATTTTCTAAATCTTCCGATAAAATTTGTTTTTCAGCTTCTTGGGTCCAGTGCTCACCAAGTGACACTTTTAAATGTTTCTAAATACATCGGCGGAATAATTAGCTGTGAAGTGTCTTCTGATGATACATTTTCAACTGCTACAGATTCTGCCAATCTCACCGTAACAGGTGAGTTTAATCTTATTCAGTTAAAGAACTGAAAAAATCACCTTACACAATTTAATTTAAAATTTTAAAGAAAAACAAAGGAGACTTTAATTAATTATTTTGGCACTTTTTTGTTTTTACAAAATAAAATAAATTGTACAGTGTTTGGTGAGATGAAACTTTATCTTGATCATTCCTGGTCATACTAGTTGTTTTTCTTTGCTAGCTGCATCTGTCAGACACAATATTTTATAATTAACAGTTTGTCTGGGGTTATAAGCAGGAGGAATCCATCCTAAAAAAAGTGAATATTATTGTTATTAACAATGAGAATGAGATCAGAGATGATCCATCTACGTATTAAATTATAAGGTGTTACCTTATAACATTGCAACTACATGATTTTGTGCAACTTCTTGCAACAATTTACTCTACACTTATATTTATTTTTTCAGACATAAGAAGGCCAGTTTTAATTATTGCAAACAACTTACTCTATCCAGATGTACCTTTTCAAATAAACTGTTCTGCTCAAGTGACAGATCCTCTGCCGACAATCACATTTTATGTAGAAAACGAAAAGGTTTTACTAAATCGGTTTGTATCCTTGAATAATTTCCCCCTGACATTTTAGTTTGGCTTGCAGGTGGAGGCGAAGTGTATGCAGCAATTAGGCCCTGGCTTGGTCAGCCTCACATTGCCAAAGGCATATCTAAATAAACTTGACAATTCAATCTATACATCGCCAATTCGAATAAGATGTGAAGCATCAGTCAGAGAAAGTTATAATCTTTCGAGTTCAAGTATACCAATCATTCCACAAACAGTATTAGGTAAGTTTGGTTTTTTTTTTTTTTTTTTTTTTTAATTTTTGTTAACAAAACATTAACTTGTAATGATAAAATTAAGAAAAAGATTTGAAAAATGGAAAAAGGAGGGAAAACTCATAAGGTGGGGTTGAGATGGGGAGTTGATGTCCGAGTGGATCGAGGTCACGATAGCTCAGGTGGTAGAGCAGCGGCGTATCTAGCCGAAGGTCGTGGGTTCGAATCCCTCTCGTGCCATTGACTTTTTTTCATCTCAACTAAAAACCTTAATTAATTATTAAGAAAAAGAATTTCTTATATAGAAATCATTCATACATCTCTGGTGTCAAAGCAATAATCAACCTTCGAATGATATTTTCTAAAAGAAAAAAGTTAATCATTATTTCAATCAATGTTTAACATTTCCTTAAGGCATAATTCTCTATCAATAACAACAAATAATATAATTATTACTGGCATTTCTGTTATATTTAATAAATCAAGTAACAGTGTCATGTTTTTTCCAGGTGAAGTTTCCTCAGCTCATAGTGATTTGAATAAGGCTTTATTGATAACTTTATTAGCTGTATTTATAACTTTGTGATTTAGAAATTTAGATATCTCAAAAAGTTTTTACTGTAGTAGGAACCATTTTACACATTGTTCAATAGAAATTGTTAAATAATAATTTTTATTGATTAGATGATGAAATGTACATGATGTTTACATAATAAAAATTGTTTTATTAATAAGTTTTGTTTGTGAATTATCTACCTATTTTGACCAAAAACAACAAATCAACACCCTACAGAACTTAACAAGAAATGTTACAACATGTTGGAATTAAGTTTTCCTTTAACTACAGTTTAATTTATTCAATTAAAGAAGCAAGATTTATTAGGGGGTTGATTTTAAAATCTAAAAAAATATTTTTTATATCCTGCATCCTATGGCACAAAAGATTCCAAATCAACGTCAAAGATATATTTCTTTATTTGACTTTATTAATGGCCTTAAACATTTTCACAGCCAATATACATAATTATTTTAATGTATAATACATTATTACATTATTTATTTTATTGCATAAACATTAATAATTGAACATATAGTTTTTTAATTAATTAATTTTTTTGTTGAACATTAACTAGTTATTACCAAATATATCTATCTGTAATTCATCGCAATCTTTATTGAGATCATCTTCAGGGCCTGGGATTTATAAACATTGTTTAAATTATACAAATATATGTAGGATGCGAAAATTTTTTATGTTTATAAATCTCAGGCACCGAAGATGGTTTCAATACGTTGGCACAATGAAGAAATGTTTTTCTAAATCCTACTTCACACCAGACCACACTTACAATCTCCAAACAATATTGCTTATATTTTTTAATGTTTATTTTATTCATTTTTTTAATCAATTAATATTGTTTTAAATTTGTTTTTTTAATTTTTTTATTATTAATAATTATTGTTATTAATTTTTAAGGGCGTTTTAATGGCTAAGGTCATTTCATGCCCTAATATCCAAACCTTCTATCTTAGCAATGATGTTTTCTTATATTTCGACCTCAACAGTTTAACTTATGATTTTTCCTTCTTGAAGGTGGGATAATAGGTCATGTCCGTGGATATATCCCATGATTAGAATAACAATGTTTTCTTATATTTCGACCTCAACAGTTTAACTTATGATTTTTCCTTCTTGAAGGTGGGATAATAGGTCATCTTATTAGCCATACAAGATATTATATATTCAAACATTAGATGACCTACTATCCAACCTTCAAGAAGGAAAAATCATAAGTTACTTCTATCTTAAGTTAGCTATATCCCTTCTGAGTGCTATAAAGCTCTGACTCCAAACATTCACTCATAAACTAATTTATCTTATTGCCAACCAAAGCTTTAATTTTTCGTTTTAAAATTCTTAATTTTGGAACGCCAAATGTATCCAAAAATCCCATTTTATATTACATAACAAATTTATTCCTGTTTTTTTAAATTAGAATTTTGAATTTTTGTTCCATAATTTAAACATTTCCCATAGGCTTGTATGGCTAATAATAATAATAATAATAATAATGGAGTCAGACTAGCAACAGTCTCAGCATGAGTATAGGCACATCCTCATCTTTTATTCTTTCGTTCAAATATGATAGATAACAATAATAAGAAACAAAAACACAATAACACGTTTTTTTACCTAACTTTCTTATTTAAATTGCAATTTTTGGGCAATTGCAATATGTATTTTCTTCGCTTTCATTTTTCTGCTCCGGCAGCCTCAAAAATTTCTGAAAAAGAAAGAAATCTTGTACGAACAACTCATTCAAACATTAGCAGGCAAACATTCAACAGTATAACAATTTGGGAAAAGACCTAAATCTCATTATAAATTCCAATAAATTTGAGAAAGCTGAAAAGTGCTCTTCGAAAGGAACCCTGGGGACCCAGTAACTCCTGTAAATCACTCGAAAGGTTGAGCCTTTGCCTAAAGGGTTGTAAAATGCAGCTTTGTTTTATTATTTTTATTTTTTGTTTTCAAAAATATTTTTCATTTTTTAATATTTATTTATTTTTTATTTGTTTCAATTAATATTGTTTTAAATTTCTGTACCACTTGAAATTATTCTGTTATTTTATTTTTTATTTTTCAAAAATATTTTTCTTGTTTTTAAATATTTATTTTAGTTTTTTATTCAGTTAATATTGTTTTAAATTTTTTAAAAATTTTTAATTGTTTTTTTAATATTTCCTTTTTTTCTTTTTGTATATACATATACTTTTTATAGCATCATTTTAAATATAATTTTTTTTACATATTTGTCTTATTATTTTAATCTTTTGTTTCTTTTTTCTAAAATATTGCTTATATTTTTTTCATGTTTATTTTGTTTTTATTTTTTATTCATTTAATATTGTGTTAAATTTGTTTTTGAAATTTAATTTTTTTTACTATTTCCTTTTTGATTTTTTATAGCATCATTTTAAATATAATTTTTTTACATATTTGTCTTATTTTATTTTTTTGTTTTCAAAACTATTTTTCATATTTTTTTATGCAATTAATAGTTTTAAATTTTTTAATTGTTTTTTTAATAGTTCCTTTTTTCTTTTTGTATATACATACATATACTTTTTTTATAGCATCATTTTAATTTTTTTCATATTTGTCTTATTACTGTAATCTTTTTTCCCTTTTTCATTGCTCACATTTTTTAATATTTATTTTATTTTATTTATTTACTTTTTTTTAATAATGCCCCCTTTTTTTCAGTCAATATATTTAAAAAAATTGTAATTGTAATTTAACCATTACAAGCTTAAATTAAGTTGCTTTGATCGAATATTTATAACGCAGTTGTAGAATAAACAGTGGTTTTAGTTGGGATTTTTGGTGTAGGAAACTTGTTACTTGTACGTTAAATTAATTTTTTATATAAAAAATATAATATAAAAATGTGAGGTGATTAGTGACCGTTAGTCGATGATTATTCAGAAATCGTGAGATGCGGTCTGAGATGTGATATAGGTTTCAGAAAAACACGACACGCAAGAATGGCACAATTACGCAGAAAACACTTTAGTGAGTAGAAATACTTTGATTGAATATAAATTTTTTTTTTTTTGCATTGTGTAAATGCACTTTTTTCCACATCCTACAAGTTTTTGTTAAATTTAAACAATGTTTGTAAATTTCATGCCCTGAAGATGATCTCAACAAAGATCGAAAGTTTGGCACGGTAAAGAAAATGTTTTTCTGAAACCTACATCACACCAGATCGCATCTCACGATTTCTGAATAGTAATATAAAAAAAGTTTTTCTACCTGGTTATACTGTTTACTTCCGTTTATAGTTTAATAGTGAACTCCGTTTAGATCTTTTTCCTTGTTTTTAATAATTCTATATAAATATAGGTAAATAAAAGAAAGTGTGTTCGTGAACTGACTTTCTAATGCTTAATTTCTAAATTCGGAAAGGACCGGGAAGGTGAGCCCAGTTACCTGTGCTATTCTCAAGACTGTACTTGACAGTTCATAAGTTGTCAGAAATTTTCCATGTGCTGAAGGACAATCCAGTGTCAATAATTAAATCCCTTTTATCTCACCTTCCTGCTTGTATTTTATTATTTTTATTTGCCGCCCAGAAAGTTGTTTTACATTAATTAAATAAAAAAAGGACTATGTGATGATTTGTTGACGTCACATACTAAAGAATGCAGGTAACAGAATAAAAGAGAAATGTCTTGATAAACAACGGGCTTTTTCAGGGAGTTTCGGGCTCCCCTCCCAATGGAAAAGTGAAAAACTGGTCAAAAAATAGGAAGTCGGCGAGAAGAAAATGAAGGAGACGGTTTGTTAGTTTTTCCTCTAAAATCGGGCGATAAAGAACAAAGAAAATGGACAGCACGGAATACGAACTGGTGAGGAATATGACTCTTCTATTTTTCTTCGAGAAATTAATGGACAAAGGCGGCCCGAGGACGCTGCACGACTTGAGCTGTCAGTTCGGGGCCAGGGGATTCACAAAAGAGATGAGACAAATCGCGGGTGGGTCCCAGTCCGGCCTCAAAAAGTTTCTTTCCCAACACCCTTCCTTGTTCACTGTCGAGGGTGATGTCGTTTACATAAATTCCTACAGCTTTTCAGCCGACACGACTGACCCCGGCCAGCCCGGCAAGAGGGATTACGCCAAAGAAGCCGTTGAGTACTTTTCTAACAAGCTGAGACAGTACGGCGAAGGGACCGAAGTTCCCATAATGAGTCTGTTAGGGCACAGGTCTCAGGCTTCACCAGTCGTCAGGCATATATCCGGGCAACATATCAAAGAGTTCAGAGACTTCCTGTGCCGCTACCCGGAGAGCTTTATCGTCACGGAGGATACCGTCATGCTGAAAGAGTACGAGGGCAAAGAGCCGAGGCCTTTTCACGAATTGAAGGAGGAGAAGGTTGACTCGGCGACGACGTCCAGACTTGTTGCTTTCTTCAAGCAGTGTATAGATATGAAAGGTCCCTTAATCGTTGACCAGTTGTTCCATCACGTTGAGACTTTTTTCCAGGAGGAGGTCTGGTCGGCTCAGTTCAAAACACCCCAGGACCTGTCGACCTTCTTAAAAATGCATTCGAACCTGTTCAATGTGCAGTCGAATCTTGTCACGAACATCTGCCAGCCTAAGAATCTGGATTGTACCTTAAACGCAAAAAAGGAGGCTAACAACAACGACAACAATGTAAACAATAACCAACTACCACTGAGTCCTCCTTCACCCAAGGAGGTCACCAACCACCTGAAGAACATGTCATTAAAGCAACGCGTCAACAGCCTTGTCATGAAGACACTAGCAGATAATACGGAGAAAGACAGGAATCTAGCGGCGATGTCTGTCAATGGGGAGAATTGGAAAGCTAAAGTGTTACAGAACACCAAAGTGATAGCGAACGTCAAAGAGTGTAGCAATCTTGTCGACGAATTGATGAACAGCGGGGAGGCCATATCGTTCGACTGCGAAGGGATCAATTTGGGAACAAAGGGACAGTTGACTTTGTTCCAGATCGGCGATGCTCTTGGACATGCGTATATTTTTGATCTTGTCACCTGTCCCAATCTCGTTGAAGCTGGTGGTTTAAAGAAACTCCTCTTGTCTCAGAAAATCGTTAAGGTAATAAAATGTTCTTTTATAACCAAATAAAATTTGAATTGAAATAAAAAGTTAAATATATTTGTTTCTCCTTGTAGAGACCTCACACTCTCTGGTTGAAAATTCAACTGATCAGTTAGCCCTAGAGTACCTTACATTAATATTTAATTTTAAATATATCATATTGAAATATATAATACATTTATACTTTTATCATTGACAGGAATTTTTTTTTCCTTCAGGTCATCCATGACTGCAGGAATGACAGTGTCAATCTTTACAACCAATATGGCATTATCCTTCAAAATGTTTTTGATACACAGGTAATTTTTTTTAAATTAAAAAGCAAATAAAGAATAAAAAGACAATGGGTGTGTTGTCTAAGCCATTCAGTTACGTTAAGCCATGTTTTAATGTTGAAGTATAAAGGATAAGTCAGAATAACACAACTGTTGTATTTATAATTATGCTATATCTTGATTGCAAAATAAGGAAAGAACTTTTCTCATGTGAAACTTGTGGCAATTCAAAAATATATTTTTTAATTTATATTAGCAGAGTATTGTAGGGAGCACCGACGCTCTATGCATTATTGCTAAGTGATAAGAGAATAATCAGTGAACGTGGTTAACTGCTGTTTGTGTAGGGGAACAAATTCAATAAACAAATTTATTGTTACACTGGACTGTCTTAATTTGGTAACATACATCAAAAAGAAAAGTCATACAATCAAGGCAAGTCAGCTACGACTCAATTCTGGGATGAGCTTATTCACAAGAGGACTTAACCAAATGATGCTCGCCAATGCCAATTTCCACATCATCCAGCATCTTCATCCTGCAGTTTTCTGGGTCCCCGACAGTTGATTTGTCATATGGCTGTCCTTGCTAGCTGAGTCCCAGACAGAGTGTAGCTTCTTGACTGCTCTGATTTAGTTCTCGATCTTCCAGTTGACTGACTTTACAACTCCAAAGCATCCCCTTTTATATCGGTTTCACAACCAGGATAGGGGAGGAAAGGAACAGCTTAGTTGAATCAACCAAACTGCCTCGCTGAATGAGGCCTAACTCCTCGGATGTTTTTTCTGCAGTCCTCAAGAGAAGCAAAGTTTTTCCATTAATAGTTTTTTCAGAAGCCTGAAGTGAAACTCTGAAGGTGCAATGTCAAACAAATGTGGTGGGTGGGTTTAGCCCGACCAATTTCTGGTGCATCTGCAAAAATATGTAGGGCAAACATTACCCCGGTGGAAAACCATTTAGCCAATTCATTAAATTCACTTAATTTCGTGGTCCGCTTGACCAATTAATACATTAAATTAATTAAGGTTTTTAGTTGAGATGAAAAAAGTTAATGGCACGAGCGGGATTCGAACCCACGATCTTCGGCTGGATACGCCGCTGCTCTACCACTTGAGCTATCGTGACCTCGATCCACTCGGACATCAACTTCCTATCTCAACCCCACCTGATGAGTTTTCCCTCCTTTTTGCCATTTTTCAACATGCCATTTAGCCAATGTTGGTCATTTTTGGTTATTTGATGACTCTAATTGCTCCAATTGTATGAAAATTACACTAGAATTAACAGTTTGGTTGGGAAGAATTTTATAATAGTCAACATTACTTCTTAGGGTGAAACCGGGCTTTTGGAGTTGCTAACTATGGGTTACTGATTTTTCTGCAAGGTTTTCTTATCTGAACTTAGTTTTAAAGGACTTACTTTTCAACCCCAGTTATCAATCCTTTCAATGGGTCATTTACATTGCATTTTAGGGGGGAAGGACTGATGGTGAGCTATCCACTAAAATCTTCTCATTTATAAGGACTACATAAATCGCTCTGACAAACTTATCCAGTTGCTCTCTGATGCATCAAAACACTTGTACGATAAGTGTAATGATATCTCATTCGTTGAGAGTATTTATGACTAAAGATTGATTTTGGTTGGCGTCAACAGTAGAAGGATGACCAGAGCGTTTTGTGTCCTCTAAATCAAAACTTATGAACCTCTTACACCATTACACATTACATATTTTCTGAGCAGTTTCCTTTGCAGTTAAAAAAAATTCCAATAAATTACAAAAATACACTATTTTTTCCTCTTTATTATTTAAAGGTCATGAAATGAGGATTTGCAAATCACTTCGAAAAAATACGAGATATCAAACAAAAATTACAATTAAAAACAACTTTTCAAAGTGTAAACAACAATGATTAAATAAGCATTGGTTTAAAACAAAAAATAAATAAAATCTAATTATTGGAAAACACTACGAAATTAGTTTACAACCCAATACTTTCATCAATTTCTTATTGTGTGGTTTAAATATATGTGGTTTCCACAGGTGTCACTTACTGGTTATGACTTTTTCATTGTGTGTGGTGATTAGTGACCGTTAATCGATAATTATTCAGAAATCGTGAGATGCGGTGTGATGTTGGTTTCAGAAAAACATTTTCTTTATCGTGCCAACATTTCGATCTTTCTATATTGAGATCATCTTCAGGGCCTGGGATTTACAAACATTGTTTACATTTAACAAATACATTTAGGATGTGGAAAAGTGAATTTATACAATGCAAAATATATTTTTTTTACAGGCCCTGAAAATGATCTCAATATAGAAAGATCGAAACATTGGCACGATAAAGAAAATGTTTTTCTGAAACCTACATCGCACCAGACCGCATCTCACGATTTCTGAATAATTTTCTTTTTCATTGTCTTTTGCTTGTAACTGTTACAGATTTATGTTTCTTTAAAAAAAAAAAGTTTCGAGAAAATATTATTGAATATGACATTGTGACACTTAAGGTATTTTGCCAATCAATTAATAGTTGAGTCCTTAAGATCTACCTCATATCTTTTTTTTAAATCTTTTTATGTAAAGTTACGAGCGGGACACTAATTTTTCAACTCAACCAGACTTTACATAAAAATTATAAATCAATTTAAATCATTATTTTGGTTAAATATGACAAACTAAAAAACTCTTATCTAATATTGGTGTAGGCCAGAGGGATGCCAGATATCGTGGCGCTTTTATATCCTTGCTGTTGTAATATTGTCGATTTCTTTGGGCAGGCTTAATTGCTTAATAGCAATTAATTCAGCCAAAATACTGGTAGTCGACCAGAAAGAGCATATAGTTTACCTTATTATAAGAAGCCCAACCGACTTGATGGTTTAACATTGACTCGTCCGTAAATTTAAAGTATTTCACAATTTCTAAATAATTTTAAATTATAAGACATTTCACCCTCCCGACCGGACTATTGCAATCAGGACTTCTGATGCTAAAGAAGCTATAAAAAAGATGATAAAGGATAAATGGCAGTGTCAGTGGGCAGGGTCATCTGAGAGGCTCCTTCATGTTTAAGTGCACGACCTGTTCATGGCCCCCTCCCCCAAGGTTCTGCGCCATAAAGAAGGAATAGCTCATCAGATTAAGAATAGGTCATATGTGGTTGACACATGGGCACTAGCTGGTGGGCCAATCCCCCCGCAGGTGTCCGTTATGCAGAGAAAAGTTGCTCGATGTGTCCCATATAGTCGAAACGTGTTGTGCCTTGGCTCCCTACAGTAGGCATGCCGCCAGATTTAAAGAGGGTTCTCGGACACAGCAGCGAGTTTCAGGGTACCCCATTCTACTTTTTAAGAGAATTGGGAAATTTTTATTGCACATAGAAGTTAAGTTTTCTATTTCTGTGTGTTGTATGAGTGATTGTATTTATTGGTGTGAATGGGGAGGGGCTGATGGTGAAGTAGCTTCTCCATCGCCTCTCAAGTTGTGTGTATGACTTGTGCTGATGGCGGAAATTTTATAAAAATACCCCATCGACCCTAATCTAGATTAGTTTATTGTAGTGAACAGGTAGATGAAGGAATATCGAGTACTCCATCCACCAAACAGTATGTGTGTGATTAATGTGTATAGGTATGAATGTGTGGTGATTAGTGACCATTAATCGATATTTATTTAGAAATCGTGAGATGCGGTCTGGTGTGATGTAGGTTTCAGAAAAACATTTTCTTTATCGTGCCAACGTTTTGATCTTTATTGAGATCATCTTCAGGGCCTGGGATTTACAAACATTGTGTACATAGAACAGTTACATTTTGGATGTGGAAAAGTGAATTTATACAATGCAAAATATATTTTTTATATATTCAATCAAAGTATTGACACTTTGAGTGAGTAGAAATATTTCGTATCGTTATATAATATCGTCGTATATATAATATCGTTGGCACGATAAAGAAAATGTTTTTCTGAAACCTACATCACACCAAACCGCATCTCACGATTTCTAAATAAATAGGTATGAATGTATTTATTAGTGTGATTGTGTGTATCGAGTGTGTAGTGATATTTTGCTATTGCTTCAGGGTTGAAATGACCAAGCTGTCGGATGCCTCTGTCAAAAAACAAAACAAAAATAATAATAAATCAACATTAATGAAACACTTATTTTTTTCTCTTCTTTAATATTTAAGCTGTTGGCACTTATTTGAACCATTCGTTGGGTGTCAAAGATAAAATGTACCCCTCTATCTACCCACTCGTATTGGTTGATTCACTAAAGAGGTTTGTGCAGATAAATTTATTCACTTATCTTCATTCCTGTGTTTGTATTAAAAGAGTGTATTATTTTTTTATTTCATTGCATAAATATGCCTTGTAATTTTGTCAAACTCAATCCATTGTAACAATTCACCTAAATATTCAAATACATGTTTGATAAATTTGAATATATCATTAAATTATCCAACATTCGGAACATAAATGTTTCTCATTCATGTTGTTCATTTCTGCATTAGTTTTTTTATTTTTACAATTTTTCTTAATTCTGTTTTAGGCCGCTCATGCTGTCATTCAGCTCCAACTGACTGGAAAACCAGTTTATAAAGTAAAGAATGTAAGCTTAAATGCTTTATATGAACTTTATGGTGCTCCGATCAACCCACAAAAAGAGGCATTGAAGGTGTTGTACCGGAGGGACCAAAGATTCTGGGCCCGGAGGCCACTGACGATGGACATGCTCTTATATGCAGCCGCCGACGTCTTGTCCCTAGTGCCCCATGTCTATACGTCAATGCTCAAAGGTTTGCGAAAGGACCTCGAACCCCTGCTCTGGAAGCTATCGGAGGAACAGGTCCTGATGCACATCCGTCCCAACGAGGTAAAAGAGAACAAAAAACAGAGGAAGGTCGAGAGCGAGATATCTGACCTTAGGGCCAAGCTGGCCTCTTCGGGTCAGACCGGCAGGAGTATTGTACTTAGCAACAGGGAAATCCGTCTACTCAAGTATGCAACATTATTTTACCCTATTCCCTTGTTAAAAAAGAAAACAAATCTTTTGAACAGCTTTGATTAATCTTTCTAACTTTGTATTAACAGGTGTATTGATTTGACTGTTGAAGAAAAAGACAAGTTAAAGTGGTCTAATAAAGTTGCTAGAAAACTAGAAAAATTAGAGTGCAAAAACAGGTAACATTAAAAAAAAAACCTTGGAAATTTATGTTATGATTATGCATTTTATTTTAGGGAAGGTGAAAATGAAATGCTAAGCCTTGATAGTATAAATAGTGAAAAGTCCACATCGTCTGAAAATTCTCTCTCAGGTAATATAATATTTTAGTGATAAATTTAACACATTTGTAATGATGCATGTATGCGCGTGTGTACATTTCACACCTACACACTAGGCCAAATAAAAATAAAATATAACTGGCATGTCTAAAATTGCATTGGCGAGTGTGTCAGTGGACTTAAGCGTATGTTCCCTTCTTTATAACGGTATTCAGGTTTTACTTAGGAATGCTCAATTTGTACAGTCAGGTTGCTCTATAGTTTGTACATTGTATGGGGCCTTAGCTCAAAGCTACGGTGTGAGTTTGATGGGGGTGCTCAGGTAAAGCAGTCAGGAGAGGAGAACCCCTGGCACAAAGGGCCCAGAGTGAGGATGGAAGATTATCATATAACCATTATTTCATTTTAGGAATAGTCTTAAATTGGCAGAGATGTATAGAAGGACCATAGGAAGGACTCTTGCCTGTTTGGCAGCTCTTTTTATATGCATCTATGGAGAGTGTGCATGTTCCCAGTCATTATCCTTCCTTTAACTTCTAACTTTTAATTAATTTCACTAGTTTTCGTGGTCCGCTTGACCAATTAATATCTTTCAATTAATTAAGGTTTTTAGTTGAGATAAAAAAGTCAGTGTCATGAGCGGGATTCGAACCCACGACCTTCGGCTAGATACGCCGCTGCTCTACCACTTGAGCTATCGTGACCTCGATCCACTCGGACACTAACTTCCCATCTCAACCCCACCTTTTGAATTTTCCCTCCTTTTTACCATTTTTCAAATGTCGTGTAATCTATTTGATTCTTGGCGACAAATGAAATGGCCACGGAGAGCTTTCGTGAAGGTATACTTCATTTTAACTTATTAAACTCACTAATTGAAAAATGGCAAAAAGGAGGGAAAATTCAAAAGGTTGGGTGCAGATGGGAAGTTAGTGTCCGAGTGGATCGAGGTCACGATAGCTCAAGTGGTACAGCAGCGGCGTATCTAGCCGAAGGTTGTAGGTTCGAATCCCTCTCGTGCCACTGACTTTTTTTCATCTCAACTAAAAACCTTAATTAATTGAAAGATATTAATTGGTCAAGCGGACCACGAAAACTAGTGAATTTAATAAGTTTAAATGAAGTATACGTTCACTAAAGCTGTCTGTGGCCATTTCATTTGTCGCCGAGAATCAAATTGATTACACGACATTTGAAAAATGGCAAAAAGGAGGGAAAATTCAAAAGGTGGTTTTTTTTCTTTTTATGAGGGTTCGCAACAGCAGAGGTCATATAAACCCTCAGGGTGCCGGTGTTTTTGAAAAAAAGCCCATTTGTAAGTATGTCGGGTTTGAATGCAGGGCCGCTGGATTCGAACCCAGGACCTTTACCTTACAGTGATGAGCGCCGTGTCAACGACTAAACCTTGAGGCCACTGACGCCCTTAAAGGTGGGGTTTAGATGGGAAGTTACTGCCCGAGTGGATCGAGGTCACGATAGCTCAAGTGGTAGAGTAGCGGTGTATCTAGCCGAAGATCGTGGGTTCGGACCCCACTCGTGACACTGACTTTTTTATCTCAACTAAAAACCTTGATTAATTGAAAGATATTAATTGGTCAAGCGGACCACGAAAACTAGTGAATTTAATAAGTGAAAATAAAGTATACCTTCACTAAAGCTCTCCATGGCCATTTCATTTGTCGCCAAGAATCAAATAGATTACACGACATTTGAAAAATGGTAAAAAGGAGGGAAAATTCAAAGGTGGGGTTGAAATGAGAATTTAGTGTCCGAGTGGGTCGAAGTTACGATAGCTCAAGTGGTAGAGCAGCGGCACATCTACCCAAAGATCGTGGGTTCGAATCCCACTCATGACATTGACTTTTTTATCTCAACTAAAAATCTTAATTAATTGAAAGCTTTAAATAATGCACTTTCAAAAGGATCTGTGGTTTCAATGTTAAAGTTTGTCTCCAATTGTTTAATATGATATTTTGCAGGTGAACCGAAAAGTTTAACCGAGTCGATGCAGTTGATGGATGAGCTCCTTTCCGACCCGGCGATTGACAGACTGGATAAAATCGAAAGGCTGGAGGCACTGTTGACCAGTGCAGTGAGTGCCAATTTAAGTGATTTAGGAAACAGCTGCCACTGTTCGTGTCATTCGAGTGTTCTCACTTCATCCGTGGCATGTCAGACGCTGTCAACAGGTGATATTGTGATCACAAACGTCTTCTGTAATGATGAAGAGAAAAATTCTAGGTCAAACGAAAGCCTGGTCTCTCATTAGTAGCTCGACACTCGGAACTCCCACAGTCTTTATTTATTTTATTGCGTTATTTTATTTTCTCGTCTATAATTAATTTATAGACTTGCAAATATGTTATCTTTTACAGCTTTTTAACAATTCGCATTGCACAAAGTAATAAATAGTTATTTTTAACTTGAAAAAAAGTTTTATTACTTTGTGTTGAAATGTTAGTTTAGGACGGGACCAAAGATTAACTAAAGATATCATATGCTCAATTAACTAAGAGTACAATTTTAACACTTGTTTTTTAAAGACCTAAAACACACTAGATTCATTAATTCTAGAAATAATTTGCACCTAATTGAACTCTTAGATTTTATTAGACTGGAAATTACTTTGGTCCCAGAAGTAAATACAACTGCCACATGACTCTTCTAGTGCCTAAACTGTTTTCCAGCAATAATGTAATTTAGATAAAATGTAGTGCTTCCGTGTATATTTTTCCAGAGAGTAAATGTACGTTTTTCTATAGTAATTCATTGAAAATTTTAAAGAAAAATTTGTTGAAAGTTAAAATTTTATTTATTAAAAACTTTATTATAATTTGTCCTTTATGATGTTAAAAGGTGTATGAAGTAAAAAAATATATATATCAAAATATTTAATTTTTTTGTCTTTTAAAGTTTATTCTCCATTATTTATGGGGTCTCGACTCACATTTATAGGATCATATTCCATCCATATGTTTAGTTTTAGAGAGTCCCTGTGGATATTGGTGATCAAAATTTGTTTATAGCATTTTTATGAGAGGGTTAAAAAAATATTTCACCCCCTAGTTTTTTAATGATATAGAAAAAAGAAAGATCTAATAAAAATTAATTCACCTTAATTTATTAATTTAATTATAAATTGTTTTAAAATATAAGGATACTTATTAGAATTGTAACCTGACAATATTGAATATATCGAAACTATATTTATGTAATTAACATTTTGAAAGCTACTTTGTACTTCATGTTGAAAAATTGTTAACCTTACTACTTATTGTTTGCAGTAAGAACAAATTTATTGTTTAAAAAAAGTAACAAAGAGCAGTAATGAATTTATATAAGAAACCTTGATAGAAAAAATTGTCATAATTTTCTAATTTAAGCTAACATAAAAACTAAATGTGCAATTTGTACTTACAGCAATACATAATTTATGAACTTTTCTTTGAATATCGATTGTCGAACACAAATTAATCACAATTATTTTGAAAGAAAAGGAAACATTGTGATACGTATTTATATTTTTTAAATTTGTCACAAAAATTGAATAAAATGCGCTTGGAATGTTGTTCTGCCTTGTAATATTATGGTAGTTGTTAGTATCAATTGAAATTCAAGGGCACAGGCAGCACTAATTTATTTATTAATCTTTTCCCTCCATATTTTATTTACCTGTTATTTTCATCAAGTTATCATTGTGAAAGTACCGTTATAAAATGGTTGTATTGCAATTTTTTTTTGTAGTATTACTAATTGTTTTTATTTGGTGACTAACCAGAAAAAGTGTAAATGGTTGTTAATAAAATATCGTTTGGTAAATTTTTAATTTTCCTAATGCTGACCATGTTACATTTTCTTTTATATGTACATGGAGAAATTGTAAAAGCAAGCTACTTGGGCCAAAGGGTATGCAAAATTAATTAAGGTTTTCAGTTGAGATAACAAGTCAATGGCACGAGCGAGATTCGAACCCACGATCTTCGGCTTGATACGCCGCTGCTCTACCACCTGAACTGTCGTGACCTCGATCCACTCGGACATCAACTTCCCATCTGAACCACAGCTTTTGAATTTTCCCTCCTTTTTGCCATTTTTCAAATTTTTATCAACTTGAAAACCTTAATTAATTGGTCAAGCGGACCACGAAACTAGTGAATTGGGTATGCAGAAAACTCGGTCACTAATTTTTTTTTAAATATAATTTTCTATTAAAACTGGAATTCAATCATTAATTTTTCAATGATATACAATATATTTATAATAAATAAGTGCACATTTTCTAAGGGACTGCAGTGGCTGAGTGATTAGGATGTCCCGGTCTGGGTTCGAATCCTGGCATAGCACATGGTTTTTTAATTGATCACAATACGAAAAGTGTTGGTTCGGACCTCTCATATCTATCCTCCAAGCACTGATTGGATGTTAACTGCACATGGGGAAAAGCATTTCGTTTTCTGGGGCGGGAACTTTATTTTTTACTAATTGATTTTCATTCACCTGTATGAACACACTAGGAAATTTTTTTATTGAATTTTTTTCAATAAAAAACTAGTATTCGGTGTTATCATCAGCATAGACTGGTTATGCATCCCCTCAAAACACAATAAATGCCTTATTTCCACTTGTACTATTTTTTCCAGTTTTTAGTGATGGTTTTTGTTTTTACAACTTATATTCATGATTTATTACATTACAATCTAAAACAAATCAAGATATCAAATTGTAAAGGCAAAATACAATTTTTAAAACCGTATATTTGTTATGATACAGTTTGTATTGGCACAGAATGTAGTTTTTTACAATACAAACATTAGTCATATTTTCTTTTCAAACATTTCCATTTTCAATATAAAATAAAAATTCACTATTTTTCGTCGTCCGCTAGACCAATTAATGTAATTCAATTAATTAAGGTTTTAAGTTGAGATCAAAAAAGTCAGTGTCACGAGTGGGATTCGAACCCACGACCCTCGGCTAGATATGCCGCTACTCTACCACTTGAGGTCACGAAAGCTCAAGTGGTAGAGTAGAGGCGTATCTAGCCGAGGGCCGTGGGTTCGAATCCCGCTTATGACACTGACCTTTTTATCTCAACTTAAAACCTTAATTAATTGAATTAAAGTAAAAATATTTTTAAAAAAAAGTTTCCCAGAATAAGCATGTAAATTTTTTACAACCTTCTTCAACCATTTTTCTTCTTATTCTTAAATTTTAAACAAGTTCAAAAAATTATAATTAATATTTCAATTAATTATTCTTTTTATGTAAGATCTTGGTTGAGAAGAAAAAGTTAAGTGTCACGAGCGGGATTCGAACCCACGACCCACAGCTTGATACGCCGCTACTCTACCACTTGAGGTCACGATAGCTCAAAAAAAGTTTCCCAGAATAAGCATGTAAATTTTTTACAACCTTTTTCAACCATTTTACTTCTTATTTTTAAATTATTCAGAAATCATGAGATGCTGTCTGGTGTGAAGTAGGTTTCAGAAAAACATTTTCTTTATCGTGCCAACGTTTCGATCTTTATTGAGATCATCTTCAGGGCCTGGGATTTACAAACATTGTTTACATATAACAATTACATTTTGGATGTGGAAAAGTGAATTTATACAATGCAAAATACATATTTTTTTATATTCAATCAAAGTATTTCTCTTACTCAAAGTGTTTGTATGTAATTGTGCCAGTGTTTTAAAACAGCAAAATCTCACTAGCACTCTCAACACGACATGCAAGGATGCCACAATTACACAGAAGACAAACACTTTGAGTGAGTAGAAATACTTTGTTTGAATATAAAATATATTTTGCATTGTATAAATTCACTTTTCCACATCCTAAATGAATTTGTTAAAGGTAAACAATGTTTGTAAATCCCAGGCCCTGAAGATGATCTCAATAAAGATCAAAACGTTGGCACGATAAAGAAAATGTTTTTCTGAAACCTACACCGCATCTCACGATTTCTGAATAATTATTGATTAACGGTCACTAATCACCACACATTTATGCTTAAATTTTAAACAACTTAAAAAAATTATAATTAATATTTCAATTAATTATTTTTATGTAAGATCTTGGTTGAGAAGAAAAAGTTAAGTGTCACGAGCGGGATTCGAACCCATGTCCGTTGGCTCAATATGCTGCTGTTCTAACCACTTAAGCTATTGCTAATTCGATCTACTTGGACACCAACTCCCCATTTCAACGTACAACCTTTCAAATTTTCCCTTTTTGCCATTTTTCAAATGTGTTGTAATCAGGTTTCGATTCTCAGCGACTTATGAAATGGCCACAGGGAGCTGTTATTGAAATCCTTTTTTACATATTATATACTAATCCATTTATGTTTACTGGTATACTTAACCATATTAATTATTCTTTTTATGTAAGGTCTTGGCTGAGATGAAAGTCAGTGTAACTGGGATTTCTGACGACCTTCGGCTCAATGTGCTGCTGCTCTAACCACTCTGTGATGATAGGTGAAGTGATTAGAGCAGTGGGAAGGGACCCTCTCTGGCTTAGCATATACGGTGGTAGCAGTCAATGTGTAGAACCGTGAACATAGGATATGGCATACATAAACCCTGTCACCCTTAATAATATTCCAAATTTGTGTGCCACATTGGAGGCGGTGTCTACATTTTGGTTTAGTACTGATAAATCCATGCCAATTTTTGTCCAAAGCTTGTGAAAGACAAAGAAAGATAGCAGGGTAACTACAATTTTCTTCAAGTGATTTTCTATTAAGTCAAATAAGTTTAATTAAAATTGGTGATCCCACATTCGTAGTCTTTTGTTAATATACAATTATACTTTAATATGTAGGCCAATGAGTTGAATCATGAATAAGTTTATGGTTGTAGCAAGCTTGGTAAATGAATAGGACACAAGCATCATAGTAGAAATTCTACCTTTAATAACTTTGAGAATGAGTAATGTTTAGTCGTAGATTTGAAGACATTTAAGAAAACATCACAAAAAAAATGGAATTATTACCACTTTGTTGCTGACACAAGTGCTTAATAAATTCTTGCTATAAGATTAAAGATATTAAGGCAATTATTGTTCAAAAATTTATTAAAATATGTATTCATTATTTCAGACAGCCAATATGTAAAATTAATGTATAGAGTTCAGTCTCAACAATCCAAACAAATTTTCAGTTAATTTTTTATGTCCGACGTAACTTTGTTATAATACACAGTACATACTGTGATACAAAAGTACATTTACACACCTAATTATTTTTAATCAATCATGCTTTTAATAAAAATGATGTTTATAATGAAATATGTAGGTAAAAAAAAATTTTTAAATAATCCATTTATTGTGGTTTTCTTTTTTAAAAATACGAACATCCAATATTTTTATTTAGTGCGAAATATATATTACTCAAATTATTTCCAATTACGTTAATTACTGACCCGAACCATCTTGTAATTATTAGTTCAAATTACCAAGACGGAGATAATAAACAGTAAAATAATTTTTGTGAAAACAAATTAAAAGATGAAAATATAGCTTGATAAAAGTCGAGGTTGATCAGCAACTCCTAAACTTTCAATAAAATAATTTAAAAGGAGGTAAAAACAGTAAAACAAAAACACATTTATAAACAAGAAATATTACAACGTGTGGGTATGAACACTACTGGGCCTTTGGTGCTGATTTTACCGTCTTGGACGAGGCAGCAAACCTCGTTTTAGATGGTGGTGGTTGAGCAGTGAATTTTGGTATCTTAGTTTGTTCATCAAGAATCTAAAATAAATAAATAAATAAAAAGAAAAAAAGGTAAAAGTTGCAAATAAAAAATATGTTTGTTTTATTTATTAACTTACCTTTCTGATTTTTTCCTCTTTTTCTAATTGTTTTGTCTTGTTTCTTTCGTCAAAGCTAAAAGGTTTGATTTTAGTTGATTGCAAACCACCAGTGACTGTTTTAAGACCTTTGTAAATACTACTATCCATCTTTTCATTATTATCCTGAGCAGAATAACAAAAATTCTTGATAAATTTACGTTTATAAAACATATAATTTTTTTTTTAAATTCTTACGCTTTGTGTCAAAAGGCTCGAAACAGTCGATGTATTCATAGCTCTAGTCTGCCTAGGCGTTGGCCTGGCCTTAAATTTAAAGGGTTCAGTCAATGTTTTATTTGATTCCTAAAATTATTAAAATAAATTTTCATCCTTAGATTGTACTATTTTACAGACTCACCTTAGGCTTAACCTCAGTCAATTTAAAAGGTACAGGGATAGTGGATGGCCTTGGTGGTGGTTTGTTCAACACTGGGGGTCTGAATATATTTTTATTTACAGGATTCGCCTTTACAAGAGTGCTGAAAGTTACATATTAAACAACCTTTGACCTCGATTTTATATTTACTATGTTAAACTCACTTTTCTACTTGAGAAGGTACAGGAGGTGCACGTGTTCTAAGCTTTGTTGCCAATTTTGGTGAATGAGCCATTGTTAAAGTTAATTTTGTCCTTTCAACTGGAGCAGCTAGAATATAAAATAAATTAAATAAAATATAAATATTTTATTAATAAAAAAATGCGTACATACTTGATGGTCTTATAGATTTTGACTTAAACCTAGGCGGGGTGTCATTTTGAAAATGAAACACCTTTTCAGCCAACGTCTGATATTTTCCCCCATACTTTATCGGAGAACCTTTTCTTTTTAGTGTTTCTCTGTCCACTACTCTGTTTCTTAACTCAATTTTAGGACTCTTGAAAACATCGTGTCTTGTTACCATAGAGTGCTGTTTTTCTGGTGGAATCGAATTTAACTGAATGCCTTCGAATGTGCTAACTAATTTATTTTCCTCCTTTCTTAAAAAATAACATAAAACAATAATTTTAATTTTCTAGCTTCTAAAGGAGGTAATTAAGCGTATTTTATTTTTAATTACTTTAACCCTTCTGTTTCAGCCTCTTTATTCAAGTTTGAAACTCTCCTTTTGGCTTTCATGATAGGTCTCTCTCCTTTGGGATATTTGCCAGGTGTTTTAAAACTGCCTTTGCCATTACTGTTAGTTATATCAGATAAAACATTTGATGGTGATATCGTTGGATGGACCAATGGTGTAAAGAACTTCTCTTTTAATTCCACATTTAGCTTTGGCGTCGAGGGGACAGATTTCTCATTTGAATCGGTATAACTGTTGAATTCGGGGATATCTAAAACAATAGGATTTTTTTTAATACTGTAACAAATTAAAATTAATGCATTATTATGGCATAATTATTCTTATAATAACTTAAACGCATAATATAGACCATTAAAATAAAAAAATGTGATTTTAATTAAAAAAATACTATAATTACAATTAGTGGAAACAAAATAGAGCCATTTACAAAAATTAAATTAAGAATTCAAATAAAAGGTTTTTCGTGGAAGAAATCGTTTGTCCTTTTTAAAAAAGGATTGAACTTATGACAGTGCAATTCATAAGGGCCGCCCAAAGCCCTTCCACAAGCTTGACTAGAAGGAGGAGGAAGGAGACTTCCACGGGAAGAGGCCTGTAGGCTTTCAGCTGAACGACAGGCGACACATGGGAATTCCTTCTTTTTGGGTGAAAAAGCAGCAAGGATCAACCATCATCACCAAGCGAGAATCGGGACTGCAATTATAAGGGCCGCCCAAAAATCGTGACGCAAGTTTTTTTTTCGTTTTAATTTGTTTTTCATAAAAAAAAAAAAAAAACATTTAGTTTACAATGAAGAGTAATTTTGTTTGTTTGTTTAAACTTCACAAAGTCGGTTTTGCAGCTTGTTTATTTCATTTTATTAATAATAATAATAATAATAATAATAATTAGTCTTGTAAGAATTGCGTTTTTTTTTTTTTTTTAAATAAGATTATAATAATCAGTCAGTTTCCTTTAATAAAAAAAAAAAAAAAATTGTTAATTCCAAACTTAGACCTTAATTTCAAATTTTGTAAATTTCTCTATATAAGAAATGTTTCCTTTTTAATATTCTTTTGTTTATTATTCATTCATTTGTCTAAACAAGGAAAGATCCACTCCCTCGGGGAAGGTCCAAATAGTAACGCTATAAATAGTGGTAGCAGGCTCAAAACCTTGTTGACAAATTTTATTTTAGTTTAAATTAAAACCTTTTTTGAGATTTCAATATGAGTAAAAAAGAATCCCGCATCATAAAAAAATGTGTAACAAACAAATTGAGATGAACGTGAAAGAGGTGATGGACTTTGGAACTCGTGGGAGACAAAAGTGCTGAAAGGCTGTGGACAGGAGGCATTCCATGGGGAGACGGCGAACAAACCACCTCGAACGTAGCTGCTTCAACTTGGCTTGTGAAGAATCATCTTATGAGAAAACATCAGGAAAACAGCATTCATCGTGTGAGTTATTTCCTATTCCATATTTCCTTAATTTTATTCCTTGGGGATTGCGCATACATAAATATTATGAATTCATTTATTTTTAACAACAGTTTAAATACTTCTTAATTATATTTTAAGTTTTTTTATATTGTTTCAAGAGTAATTGATTTTATTTTTTGTAAAGATTTAAGTTTGAAGATTCAATTTAAAATAAGGAAGAGTGTAAATATAATTTAAAAAAAAAAGAAATAACTGGAGTGAATAAATTCTGTTTCCCTTACAGTGCCTTTTATTTTTAATTTTTTCCTTTTATAAAAATAATGGTAATAGTAAAAAAAATTACAATTATTGTTGTATTTGTAATTGTTAAAATTGTATTTTAATTGTTTCATAAAAAAGACCCTAAAAGTCTAACAAAAATGGCGCCCGAACAAAATAGGAAAGAAATTAACATAAAATTGGAACAAATTTAAAACAAAATTATTAAACAAAAATTATTTCTTAATATTAGGCGTAAAACAAAAAAAAAAACTAAATTAATAAATACAAATATATGCCGTTGAACATAATATAAACTATATTTTAACCAAAAATAAAATTTTTGGGGTTTACAAACACTTTAAATTATTGAAATTTCAACCTAATCACAAAAAAACAATAATATTAAAAAATTAAATAATAAAAAAATATTAACTGGGATTTGTTCACTTGTCTTCCAAAAAATAAATAAATAAATAAAAATTAAAAAAAAAACAACGAAATTTGGAGTCAAATAAATAAAATAAAATAAAAGTGCCCTCTTGATTAACAACTATAATTTGTTAATCCATTGGTAAAATGGATAATCCAAGTGAGGAGGAACAGAGAATTTGTAATGAAGAAGGTTTGGCACACATTACACAATTCCAAACACCTAATGCACATCTCGAACACAATAAACAACAATTAGAAGCAACACAAGCATTGGCACAAGCTCTTGAATTGTCAGACAACCCTATATTTCAATCCATTATAAAAGAAACATTATCTTCCTTACTTCATAATTCACCAAAAAACATAAAAAGAGATATACAAGCGAATGTTAAAACACTAGTGGACCAATACGAGAAAGCATTAAAACAAAAACTTCACGCTTTGAACAAAAAACAAAAAAATGCAGTTTTAAAAATATTTGAGGTAAAAGAAGCAATAAACTTTTCAATGCAACCTTTTTCACCTAACGCTGTTAAAGAAGGAGAAGAGTCTCCAAACAGATCAAATTAATGATAAAAAACCACTTTTTAAACATAATATTATACCATATTCAGTACAAAATAGGTTGCGAAATGTCCATAAGTTTAAGTTATACAATGCTGAAGCAGTTTTGAATTTTTTAATTGGTCTTCACCCAATAGCTGAGCGTTATCCGAACGATTTTGCCACAATTTTACAAGGCTTAGCAGACTTACACACAGGGGCAGCGGAAGCAACACTTTCAGCAGCCGCAGCACACCCACATATTACATTTGAAATTTTACGTTGTAGTTTGTTACGTTACCAAATAACCGAAAAACAATTACAAATTTTACATGCTAAATACTTTTTAAGAAACCAAACAGATGCCGAAACATTGCGGAATTACATAAACAATAAAATTTTAATCGCTAAAATTTTGGGAGAAGATAATGAAACAAAATTAGTAGAAGCAATTATTGAAGGAATTCACCCTAAATTTCTCGCACTCTTAGGTTCAAAACCAGTTATCACTTCTTTAAGCGAATTATGGAATGAAATGATCTTAGCAAATCGCGCTATGGGACAAAATATTCCTATTGCAAAAAACCCAGATATGGACTTAGAACTTCCGAACTTTTCAGTACAATTTACCGGAGAATCTGCATGCGCTAACGCGCCGAATACAGATCAGATTTTTCCAAGACAAATTAAATATAATAGGCAACCCAATTACAACGAATTCAGATTTAATCAAAATAGAAATTACAATTTCAATAAGCATGAATTTAATCATCAGGGAAATTTTAGACGAAATGTACCACAAAATAGAGGATATAAATTTTTTTATCATTACAACCCAAATTCGTATAATAATCAAAATCGATATAGTCCTTCAGAACAAAGAAATTATTACAACAGAAATTACTCAAATCGAAAAAATACAGGCAATTACGTAAACGTTAGTCCAGTTGAATTTTCAAAAACACCAAATTATTCTTATAATAAGGCAAGATTTAATGAAAACAGAAATAAATTAAACCGTCATGATAACTATCATAAACATAATAATAACAAAAACAATTCGCAGGAATATTACAACAAAAACAAGTATAAATTATTTACACCTCAAAAGGAATATGAGTTGATGGGTGTTACTCCGGAATATCAGAAATCTATTAGCAATAACGGTGTACCAAATTTTTATAATAAAAAAAACTAGTAATGTTGGGGGGTATCAGAGGGATTTCTGAAAACCAAATAAATTTGTCAAATTATTTTAAAGACGGCCATGTTAACAATTTTTTGGGATTTACAAAAGTTAAAATAAACCAAATCGACGCTATTGCCTTATTTGATTCTGGTGCAACAATTAATTCTATAAGTTTATCTTTATTTAAACGCATAATACAGACCATTAAAATAAAAAATTGTGATTTTAATTTAAAAAATACTATAATTACAATTAGCGGAAACAAAATAGAGCCATTTACAAAAATTAAATTAAGAATTCAAATAAAAGTTTTTTTGTGGAAGAAATCGTTTGTTGTCATCGATGGATTACCTGTGCCTTGTATCTTATCGTATTCATTTATGAAACAAACAAAAATTGGAATTATACCCTGTAAGGATCAATTCTATTTTGAATTCGATAAAAAAAAATACTATTCCTTTTTACCACATTATAACTTCCTTATAAATAATTTCAAAAATTTAAACGCTACAATAATTAATAATAAAAACTTAAATATGAATGAAAATTATGATAAAGATCCGCATAAACTAATAGCCCAATTAAAAAAAAAAAAAAAAAATATCCGAACGTCTTAACTACAGAATTAGGCAGACCACAATAATGAAAATAAATTTGGAAACGATATCAAACAAGATTGTTCATTCGCCTGCCTATCCTCTTAACCCACCACAACTACAAATTATGAAGGAAATCATTAATGATCTTTTAAAAAAGGGAGTTATTTCTAAAAGTTTTAGCCCATATGCTTCTCCTGCCTTTCTAGTCCCGAAACCTGACAAAAAATCTTACCGATTAGTGATCAACTACAAAAAAATTAATGAAATTATAAAATATGTTGACTATCCCTTACCAACTATTAATTCTGTATGCGACTTTTTACGGGAGGCTAATTATTTTTCAATAATAGATTTAAATCAGTCATTTCATCAAATACCCTTAAACAAAAATACCGCTGAATTAACGTCATTCGTCGTACCATTTGGAAAATACCAGTATAATTTTCTTCCATTTGGCATGAGAGCAGGAAGCGGATATTTATCTATGCTCATTGATGAGATTTTCAGGGAAGAAAAATTTAAATTTATTTGGTCATTTGTGGACGACTTATTAATTTATACAAAAGGAAATTTGTCAGATCATAAAAATGTACAAGACTATGTATTTAATAAAATGAAACACGCTAACTTAACTGTGAACCCCACAAAAAGCAATTAGCAAAAAGTAAAATTAAATTCATGGGTCACATAATTTCAAAAAATTCTGTCCAAATCGATCCCGATAGAGTAAGCGCTATATTAAAAACTCCCAAACCTAAAAATCTTAAAGAACTGGCAAGCTTTATTGGCTCCATATCATACTATT